TGACTTAATCTTTTCAGGCAGATAGAATTTTCAGACACAATTCAATCCCACCCCAGCATTACTGATTGGCAAATCTCTCTCTTCTATCACCCTGGATCATCGACCTTCTTAAATTTAATTCAAAAGTAATTAATTCTTAATTTCTTTACAGCTATGACAGCCCCGCTTGTTATCATTACTAGGGCCTGAAGGGTTAGGCTTGGATATCAGTGGTTCTCTGAAAGTGTCTGAAGGGAGCATCTGAGTTACATTTACAGTTCAACTGATAGTCCTAGATGCTGGTATAGCATTTGGCAGTATATTAATTATGATTTATTGTTCATGTGAAAAACTCAGATTTATGGAGCAATTACTATGTTCCAGGCACTGTGCTCTGGCTCTACATGCATTATCTCATTCATCCCTTATTCACTGTGCAAAGGTGTAGAGTGACCTTACAGTTGCCTTGCAGCTGGAGCTCAGAGGTCATGACTCTCATGAAGGTCACAGTTGCTAAGTGGAAGGACTAGGAGTTTAGTTTGGGCTTCTTGACCTCAAAGCCTGAGGCCTTAATCAATGTGCTATAGCATCTCTCAATGTATAAACGAATACATATATATATATATATAAAACTTCTTGGTAGGTAGCCTTATTATTTTTGGAAAGATTAGGCAGCTTGTCAAGTGTATGTAGTTAGTAAACAACAAAGTTGGATTTAAGCTAAAATGGTTTGTGCTCATTTCTCTACTTCCACTCTTACTGTACTTTTACTAAATGTCACAGCAGTAGTTTTAAAATGTGTGTGTATAAATGAAACGATGCCTCAGAAGCTAATGAAATCAAATTTTTTAAAGTACTGAAAGAAAATAAAATGTCAATCTAGAATTCCCAGAAAAAATGTCACTCATAAATGGTGAGACAAAGCCTATTAAGACAATAAAAACCTAAAAACTTATTGCCAACTTATCAGCTTTAAAAAGAGTATCAAAGAATGTTCTTCAAGCAGAAAGAATATTGTCCCAGATGGAAACATGAAAATGCAAAAATAAATGAAGGCTAGCAGGAAGGTTAAATAAGTAGGTTTATAATTACTAACCATACAAAGCAGTAATAGTAAATATCTTAGAAAATTTAAAGAATTTATAGAATTAAAAATAAATTCCAAAATCATGCAAAAGGCGGAGGGATTAATGGACTTAAATTAGTGTATGGTTCTAGTATTATCATGAAAGTATTAGACATTAAAATTTGAATAAGACTACTATTTCAAGGATACATGTGTAATCTCTAGGCTAGTTGTGAAAAGAATAGTGTGAATATTTAACTAGTCAGTTAATAAAGAAAAAAGATAGAATAATAAGAATATTTGATCATAAAATGAAAATTCAAAAAGGAAAATAAAATAGATGGGTCAAATAGAAAAGAAATAGTAAGGTGGTAAATATAAATCTAAATATAATACTAATTAAATTTAAATGAACTATATTATCCAATAGAAGAATAATATTATCATACTATACCTAAGAAAAAAATCCGTGAGAGACAGAGACACAGTTTAAATAGTTTAAATTTAAACTGTGTCAGAGGTTAAAAGTAGAGGATTAGGAAAAATATCAATCTTAACCAAAACAAAGCATGTTAGCTATCCTACTATCACACAAAATAACTGTACGGCAAGAGGCATTGGTAGAAATTAAAAAAGGATATTTCATAATCATAAAAGTCAATCTACAAAAAATATATCACAATCTCAAGTCTGTATGCCCTCAACAACATAGCTTCATAGTATATATAGCAAAAGTTGAGAGAACTAGCAGAAACAAATAAATTCACAGTCAGTTTGGCATTCTTTTTTTACATACTTCTTTCTATAACTGTTAGAAAAAGCAGATAAAAAATCAAGGATGCAGAAGACCGGAACAACATAGTTAAGCACTTAAGCTCAGTTGCTTTAGTCGTGTCCTGCTCTTGGCGACCCTAGAGACTGTAGCCCGGCAGGCTCCTCTGTCCATAATATTCTCTAGGCAAGAACGTTGGACTGGGTTACCATGCCCTCCTCCAGGAGATCTTCCTGGCCCGGGGATCAAACCCATGTCTCATGCCTCTCCTGCATTGCAGGCAGATTCTTTACAACTGAGCCACCAGGAAAGCCCAACATTTGTTCAAAATTATATGTGTGGAACATTGCATGCAGCAGTCACAGAACTGCAGTGAGTTTTAGTGCATGTGGAACGTTAGCCAAAGCTGCCTACATGCTGAACCATAAAGGAAGTCTCAACAAAGGATCACCATGATTCAAAGTATGTTCTCTGTTCACAATGAAAGTAAACTAGAAACAGCAGTAAATAGATAACCGGAAAACCTCTAGTACCTGGAAACTTAAAATTGTACTCTTAAAATAGTTTATGGTCAAAGAAGAAATCACAACTGAAATTCGTATTTTGAACTGAATCCTAATAGTTTAGAGGCAAACAGGGGACAGGACAGGAGGAGTCCAGGCAAATGCAACAGTGTGTGCAAAGGCCCTGAGGCAAGAGAGAGTGTAATCAGTATCAGGAATTGGAAGAAAGAGCATGGAAAACAAGAGGAAAGCAAGGGTTTTGTAGAATACGATGAAGAATTTGGTCTTAATGCTAAACAAGAGTGATATTTTAAGCAGGGGGTGATGTGATAATATTTCATTAAGAAAAGTAAGCCTCTGACTGCAGGATAGATTGAAGGGCAGTTTACATTTCAGAAGACCGTTTGGAGGCAGCTGCAGTAGTCCTGGCGGGAGAGAATGGGCTGGATGGTGGCAGTGCTGCTGGGGGAAGTGGGAGGTTCTAGAAAGCTCTGGGAGGTAAAATTGACAAAACTTGGTGATGAATTCACTATCAGGGAGAAAGGGGGGGGGGGGGAACCAAGGAGGACTCTGGGATTTTGTTGCCCTGGGTGGATGGCAGTATTTTTCCTGGGGCAAGGGCTCCCAGGTTGGGGTACAGAGTGGACGAAGTGAATCAGTTGGTTTGGGTGCAGGTTCAGCTTGAGACATGGCTGAGATGTTAAGTGGAGAGGTCAGATAGGCAGGAGGATATGATGCAGGTGTGCAGGTCAGAAGAGAGGGCTGAACCACATAAGCAATTAATCACCCTTCGGACGCAAGTGTTGAATTGGTTCATGTTTGTTTTTTATTAAGTTTGAGAAATTATTATTTGGTTTTCATTCTTTTTTTTTCTCACTCTCCTTTCCTTTGGAGAACTTGTTTGAATTTTTCTTTCTATCCCTCTCTTTTTGTTTATGTGCTTCTTTTGGGCTTGCTAAGTTGTGTCTGACTCTTTGCAATGCCATGGACTGTAGCCCACCAGTCTCCTCTGTCCATAGGATTTCCCAGGCAAGAATACTGGAGTGGGTTGCCATTTCCTGCTCCAGGAGATCTTCCTGACCCGGGGATCGAGCACATGTTTCTTGCGTCTCCTGCATTGGCAGGCAGATTCTTGACCACTGTGTGACCTGGGAAGCCCAACTTCTTTTGAGAGGCTTCCTAAATTCATCTCCACTGTGCAGGATACACCCCTCACCTCTGCCGCCTGCCTGGCGGGGTCACCATGGGGCATGATCGGCAGAAAAACAGATGGCGAAGGAACTAAGGATGCAAGCCATTGGGAAATGATTTGAATGTGGGAAACAGGTTGCTATTTGGGGTGAAGATAATTTCCCAGTGCAAAGGATCTGAGCACTTGCTGATGTGCCTTTCAGAAGGTTTGCTTATTAGGCCTTTACACACAGGCATGGGCCCAAGTCCTTAACCTCCCTAGGAGGAGCATGTTACTTGATAAATCCTGGCTTCCAGCAGGTACTCAACACAAAGCTGGTGGTCAGGCGAAAGAAGGGAGAAGGTTCAGCTGAAGATTAGTTCCCAAGTTTGTATAAAAGCATCTAAGAATAATAACTTTTGGGTTTCCCTGGTAGCTCAGACGGTAAAGAAGAGCAGGAGAACAGGGTTCGATCCCTGGGTCAGAAAGATCCCCTGGAGAAGAGAATGGCAACCCACTCCAGTATTCTTGCCTGGAGAATCCCATGGACAAAGGAGCCTGGCAGGGGAACCTTCTTTTGATCTATCTGGATCCTGAGTCCAAGGAGATTTCACAGTCAGAAAACAAGGATTCCAAATGCTTCAGCTGGTGGAATGTTCTAAGAGATTAGTCCACTGGTGCTTTTAGTTCCAATATTTTAAAAAATTTAAAAAGGAAGATGCTTGGGAAGACTTTTCTCCATTGCTTTAACAAATAATGTTATAAAAAACTGAGGCAGAGGGGGGGGAAAGTCTTTTTTTTTTTTTTTTTTTTTTGCCTAGCCTACCACATTGACCTCCATGCTGGGAAGTCAAATTTTGGCTCTTTTTCCCTCAGTAATTTCTGTGCAGTAGGATGTGGTGACAGGGGTCTGGCCTGGGGCTCGGATATCTCTGGATTATTGCTGAGGGTGGGGTCAGGGAATTGTCTGCCTGGCTCTGACAGCCAAGGAGAAACCTACTATCTCTCAGAGACTCGGGCTGCTGTGTTTGTGGTTGGTGGGATCTCATTTGTTACATTCCCAGATCAGTTTTCCAAATGGTTTCTAGACTGACATTTCCACTTTTACGGAGATTACTTTTCCATGTGGAACTCTACTACTCCGTGTGATGTCAATGTTCAATATAAACAAACATGCAAGTATTCGTAGATCTTTATGTGCGTGACAAAGTTTTAATGTTTACTGGGGGCCAAGCATTATCCTAAGTGTTTAAAGGGTATGAAACCATTTACCGCTTACATTAATATTTTAAGCTTGGTGCTTTTGTGATTCCCATTTTCTGGATGAATAAACTGTAGCATAGATGGGTCACTGAACTAGTTAAGGCTACAGGGAGGGTGAGGGTTGGGCCAGGGTGTGACCCCACGCTGTCCACCTCTGGGACCCACTTTGTCCTTTGCTGTATCTCTGTGTGGAGGAGGGAAACCTTTTGAAGTGCGTAGTCCCAATGATGTTTTATTTTTTCTTAGGAGTGACTGGGTGACCTCCTATAAGGTCATGGTGAGCAATGACAGCCATACGTGGGCCACTGTTAAGAATGGATCTGGAGACATGGTGAGTCCCCTTGAACCATGCCCTGGGGATCTGGCTGTCAGGGCTCTCCAGAGAGAGGCAGTGGGCACCCAGCCAGTGTTTGCACCTGGATGTTGGCTGATTCTGTGCCAACTCAAACCAACCATCCAGTCTGATGGATGAGGACCCGAGTTCCATGCCCTGAAGCTCAGAACCACGTGGTCCGCATTCAGGGCCCGTGTAGAAGTCCGAGTTGCTGGGATGTGGTATCTCCCGCAGGTCACAGGTCAGCCCTGGAAGGTCAGAGGCATGTGGGTTATGTTTGTGCCACATGGCTCTTCGGTTATAATAGTTCCCGAGCTTCCTTTAGTTACCAGTCTTTCAGCTCCCTGCCTCCCTCCAGGTTAGCCAGTTCTGACCCTGTCACCCTCTTTCTCGGGTTCTCAAGTTCCTATCACGGTGCTCAGTACCGTCCACAGTCTGCCTGCAGCCTCTGTGTTGACCTTCTTCCCCATTCTCAGCCCCCACCTTGTACCCACTCCTCTGTGTTCCAGCAGAAGTGAGACAGTTGCTCTTCCGCTGAATCCAGTATCTGCGCTCCTCCAGCCATCACTTCCTTTCCTCTAGAATCCCTCCTGTTCCTGCATCTCGAGTTTTCCTTCAAGGCCAATTCAAACAGCACCTCATCCCCAAAGCTTCACCTGGTTTTTCCTTCTTCCAAAATCCCAAAGTTTTGTGGCTGTCTCTCTGCCATGATGCTAATAGATTGCACCTATGATATCTAAGTTTAGCCCTCCTCCTCCTCCCTGCTCCACCCCCATTAGATGGGTGCTTCCTGAAGGCAGGGTCCAGGCCTGATCCATTTCTCCTCCTCATCTGCCCCCCGCCCCCCGCCCCAAATGCCAACCTCACATTTAGGTGTGCTTTAATGAGATCTTGCGGACTGAGTGAATTACTGACTCTTTCATGACTTGATAATCAAGCTCTAAAAGAGTCTTCTTTTCCCCCTTGTGCATAAATAGATATTTGAAGGAAACAGTGAAAAGGAGATCCCTGTATTGAACGAGCTGCCTGTCCCCATGGTGGCACGCTACATCCGCATAAACCCCCAGTCCTGGTTCGATAACGGGAGCATCTGCATGAGGATGGAGATCCTTGGCTGCCCATTGCCAGGTGGGTCCACCCTTCTGTGCTTCCTGCAGGGAGGGAACGCTGGTGGAAGACAGGTGCTTCGCCAGCAAGGTGAATAAAAATAAGCCACACAGTCTTTTTCTCATCTAAGAAAATTACCACATCTATTGCGGAATATTTAGAAAACAAAGGTAAACAAAAAGAAAATGAAAATCTCCCAGAACCCCACTCAGAAACACCATGGGTATTTGGGGTATTAAGGTAACATGCCAGCTGGGGTTTTGTCCGCTGGGACTTCAAGATGATGCTTATTTCAAGGTTGAAAATTCACCCAGCACTGCTGCTCAGAAGCAGGCAAAAAATTACATAAAATTTTTTTGGTAACATGTTTAGTTGCCTTTGAGTGCTCTTGCCACACTGGTTAGAGGACGTGGCAGAAGTTAATTTCAAACTTCATCATGTATATAGTCTTTTTTGGTTTACGTGGTGAAGTCTCTTTCTGTTTAAGTACCTTCACTTGGATGCCTGTATCTTTGGGTGCTTGTTCCTTTAGGTTGTCTTCCCCTTGCCCTGTTTTCACATGATGGAATTAGGTGTAACCCCAGGGTAGAGGGGAAAAGGGCTTGAATTAACATGCACTTTTTGCATGTGGACATTTGCTGGTGTCTGCTCTGGACAAGCTAATCTGGTCTGGCTTGCAGTTCTGTCGGCCTTTCAGAACCTAGGGATTTGTGCCTGTATAGAGCCTTTTGTGGGCTTCCCTGGTGTCTCAGATGTTAAGAATCTGCCTGCCATGCAGGAGATCCACGTTTGATCCCTGGGTCAGGAAGATCCCCTGAAGAAGGGCATGGCAACCCTCTCCAGTATCTTTGCCTGGAAAATCCCATGGGCAGAGGAGCCTGGTGGGCTACAGTTCTTGGGGTCACAACGAATCAGACATGACTGAGCTACTGACACTACTACCACTACTGGAGCCTTTTGTGGCGGCTTCTTCATCCTCACCAGACATCTCCAGGGGCAGGAAGCTGGCCTCCAGGACATTCCTAAGGCCTTTCACCAGAGCCTCTAGGAATTTCCACCTCCTGTCCACCCACAGTCAGGCCACAGCAAACAAGGAGCACAGCTTTGGGTTATCTCTACTATACTTCCTCCTCCAGGGAAGTCTCAGCATTCTTGTCTTATCTGAAACGCACGCCTTACTGTCTCTGGGTTCCCCCTGCCAGGAGGAGGGTACCACCAGCCCTGATGCTCTCAGGTGCCTCTATACCCATCATGCTATTTCTGTAGCCATCCCACGCCTACACCGTGAACTTATACTTACTGAGTTTTCGGAGCTATTTCATATCATTTATTGCTTTTCCCTCAACCCTCTGCTATCCATGATCTTGCTTTGTCAAGTATGAATTTACTCAGAAAAAACTCTATATTGAGAAAGACAAGTCTACTCACATGCCATCTACTTACCCTCCCACCAGACAGATTCTTTGTTCCTTATTTGTACTTATTAGATTACAAACTTTTTTCATGTCACTAACACTATTAGAGACCATCTATCGTGGTGGGTGTTTTTATCCACCGTATCGAAGGTTTTCAAACTGCCTCTTATAGTTGGAAATTCAGTTGTTTGATTGGAAATTGGAAATATAGTTGTAAAATCAGTTTGATTCTAAAGAATTTCACAGTGGACATCTTCATTTCTGTTTCATTATGCATGTCCAAAATTATTGGGTGAATTATGGGATTATTGCTTAAATTAGATGATGGTACAAAAGACCCTGATGCTGGGAAAGATTGAAGGCAGGAGGAGAAGGGGACAACAGAGGATGAGATGGTTGGATGGCATCACCAACTCAATGGACATGAGTTTGAGCAAACTCCGGGAGATGGTGAAGGACAGGGAAGCCTGGCGTGCTGCAGTCCATGGATTCGCAGAGTCAGACCAACTGAGCAATTGAACAACGAGAGGTGGGATTGCTGGTGGGAAAGCAGTGTGTGTTTTCAAGGCTGGTCCAGAGAAAACGTGAAGGCCTCCCAGTGTGGGACCCGGGCCCCCTTCTGTGGCTTATTCATCCTGGGGTGGCGATCACAGGGCCCGCCCGCTGCCGCCAGGGTCCCGCTGGGCTTTGCTGAGCTCACTGCGTCTGCAGACACAGACCCAGGCTGGGGACTGTGAGACCGGCTTTGTGCCTGGTTGCTCAGCGCGGCCTCACTCTGCTTGCTTTAAAGAGCAGGGTCACGGTTTCTCTCTGAGGGCAGGGATTCATCTGTGGTTGGTTAAGGGCAAAGGGCAGCCTGTGAGAGTCTCATGAAATAAATATTTTCCTGTGAAGTTATTCTTGGTGTATGTGTGTTTGAAGATGGGTCCTGGGGGCAATTTAAACACAAAGACAGAGTTACAGTGTGAAATCTGGATGGGTTTCAAGAATGGCCTTGGAGTGGTTCTATTTTCCAACCCCAGATACTTAGGGCTGTTTTTCTTCTAAAAGTTACTTAGCAGTCTGCCCAGAGGGGAGCTGGCCTTTGTACATGCCACCTGGTGGTCACATCTGAGGTCCTGGGGTGGCTTGGGGGTCCCTAGCGTCCATGTGGGAAGGGGAGTCTTTCTCAGTTGCTTTGCTGTCGACACGGTTCCTTTGTGCAGGTTAATGAGGCCAGAGGTGACCCAACCAAGTCAGTCACTCAGCCCAGCGTGACTGGGTGCTGGTAATGCAACTGCCCAGTGTCTGTTCTTCCTACAACTCTTGCTCATGAAAAATTCATTTACCTTTGCTTCTGCTTCTCTTTGTTCTGTCCTCACTGTCTTCCTGTGAACCCTCAGGTTGGGGCAGAGGAAGGGGAAGATGCTTTTTAAGTCTTCATGAATAATGTTTTTAGAAATTTTTGAACTAGAACATGAATTACCCTATACATGGCCAATTCATTAGCAAAGACCCTGATGCTGGGAAGGATTGAAGGCAGGAGGAGAAGGGGACGACAGAGGATGAGATGGTTGGATGGCATCACTGATTCAGTGGACTTGAGTTTGAGCAAAAGCTCCAGGAGATGGTGAAGGACAGGGAAGCCTGGTGTGCTGCAGCCCAGGGGGTCACAAAGAGTCAGACACAACTGACTGAACAACAGCAACAGCAAAAAACCTCAAAACTCATAGAAAAGGGAGAGGGTTGTTTAATGGTTATAGTTTCAGTTTTGTAAGACGAGAATGTTCTAGAGATCTGTTTCTACAAGAGTGTGAATATATGTAATGCAACTCAACTATACTTTTGAACATGGTTAATCAGAGGGTTTCCTGGACTCGGGTGAGCAGCCTGGTGGAGATGCTGTGAGGTGGGGTTGTATGAGACGGGGCAGGAGATAAGCACGAATGATGGCTCTGTGCAGATGCTGCGAGGTCGGGTTACATGAGATGGGGTAGAAGATACACGAACGACCGGCTACCCCCTCCTTGGAGCCACGTGGAGCTGTGGGTTTGATGCTTTCACTGACAGTAATGACCTACAATCAAAACAAGCTCTGCCAGGGGTCCAGGTCTCCCCTTATTCCTCTTGGAGCGACCTTGTCATGAGAACAGTCACGCAGGGTTGGACAAGTGCAGCTTCTTCTCATTAGGGAGCCAAGCACCTTGCGGAAGGGGTTTGGTGCTGTTTGCACTGGTGCCAGGTCATCTGTGCTCAGGAGTCTCTGCTGGGGTATCAGGGCTTAGGGTGATCATAGGCCGTGAGTGAAAGTGAAAGTGTTAAGTCACTCAGTCGTGTCCGACTCTGTGTGACCCCATGGACTGTAGCCCGCCAGGCTCCTCTGTCCATGGGATTCTCCAGGCAAGAATACTGGAGTGGGTTGCCATGCCTTCCTCCAGTGGATCTTCCCCATCTGGGCATTGAACCCAGGTCTCCTGCCTTGCAGACAGGGAAGCCCCATAAGGCTTTAGTAGTGGGCATTTCCTTGGGTGAGGGGCTGGCCTTGTGTCAGGGAAGGAAAAGGGCTGTGGTGGCTGCATTTCTGGTTTCCCGTTAGTCCTCAGAGAGCACTTTGAGGTCAGCCATTGTTTTCCTTTTTAAATGAGGTGAAACTAACGTAACATGGAATTAAACATGTTAAAGCGTACAGTTCAGTGCCACTTTGTGTCTTCACAAGATGGTGTGATTGCTGGCTCTCTCTGGTTTCAGAACTTTGTCATGGACCCCAAAACACCCTGAACCCACTTTCAAATCACTTTCAAATCCCCTTCCTACATCTCTGGGTAACCTCTAATCTGCAGTGTCTATGGATTCACCTGTTCTGGTAATGTGTATCATGAGCTCAGGGACTGTAGATAGCAGTGAGCCCCTGGTCCAGCAAAGGTAGCCCTTTCCTCTCCCAGTTGAGAACTCCCTCCCATCAAGCAAGATCCCAGGCCACCGAGCAGCAAACAGCTGAGCGGAATGGTCCCAGAGCCGGGGTGTTCCCTTGGATGTCCGCTAACGGGGTTTGGTCTGCAATTATGACCATCCAGTGAAGTAAGCTGGTGCTGGATTTGGGAGGAGAATAGCGTGTCCACATCAGCGAGAAGCCAGGGATATTCAGGGTGTGGAGTCATTTCCAGGGCTGCCGTAACTCAGCACCAAAAACTGGGTGGCTTTGGATAACAGAGTTACCATCTCACAGTTCTGGAGGCGAGAAGTCCAAGATCAGGGTGTAGCAGGGCAGTTTCTTTGAGAGGCCGTGAGGCAGCATCTGTTCTTGCCTCTCCCGTGGGCTGCTGGTGGTCTGCTGTCTAATTTTTGATGCTCCCCAGCTTGTGGGTGCCTCACCCCCATTTCCGCCTGCGTCGTCACATGGTGTCCCCTGAGTGCTTCTCTCTGTGTTCACCTTTCCGCTTTGGATAGACACAGTCCTAATGGAATAGGGCCCGCCCTAAGCACCTCATTTATACCTGATTAGCCCTGTAAAACCCCTCTCTTCAAGTAGGGTTGCATTCCTAGGTAGGTCCTGGGGGTTAGGACCAACATATCTCTTTGGGGTGGGGACAGCACTCTACCCAAAATGGGCTGAATGAGTAGACCTGTTGGGATGGAGCAGAATTTTGAGTCGTCAAGTAAGAGAAGTGAGGCGGGGAGGAGTTTGTAGACTCCACACTCCCCGTCTGGAGTCTATTCCCGTAACTAAGGTGTTCCAGAAGGAATCAGCTGGCTTTCAGTACATCTGATGCATGAAGCCGGCCACATAAAAGGAATCAGGAGGCTGATTCTCCAAAACGCCCTCTGTGAGAATAAGGTCTTGCAGACTGAATCAGGACTTCTGCTTCAAATGTCGGAAGTGCTGCTCAAATTCGCTAAAGTAAGGAGGGGGAGAAAAGGAAAATTTTAGTTCACAGTAATAGTTCCAGAGGTAGATGTGACTCTGGCTTCAGGCAAGAAAGGATCGACAATCTCGGGGTCTTCTTGATGCAGTCAGGGCTCCCCTCCTCACCAGCTTGCAGTCAGAGAGCTTGGCCACTAACACCCCGAGCTCATCCACCATGTGAGTTGACTCCGGCAGGAGGCCCTCCTCCTTTGGCTCCGGGAGGAAAGTCATCTTATGAGCCCAGCTTGTATCCTGGGATCATCTCCGAGCCAGTGGCTGTGGCCAGAACATGTGTACTTTCACTGGCTGGACCTGGGTCACATGCCCATCCCTGTGAGTGTTGGGCGAGTCTGTTCCATCAGAAGCATCTGGAATAGATTTCACACAGGAGATAGGGATTCTTTTATCCACAGAAGAAAAAAGAGGACAGTGGGTTTGGCTGAATAACGGGGCATGCCTGCAGACTCTGGGTCCCAGGGTGGGGTGGCTGGGCTTGGTTCTCACTTATTACCTACAGTGTTGAGCTCCTAGGAGGGTCTCAGTAAAACTTCATCCAATCAGAATAAGCGGAGAAGTAAAGAAGTATTTGTACAAAAGGTGAAAGGTGGAAAGTTGAGAAAAATGCTCACCTGGGGTTCTGAGACAGTTCTGGAACTTGGACCTGTATCCTCAGACAAATTGGTTAGTCTCAGGGAAGGAAGTTACAAAACATGGAGATATTTCATATGTACAGTTCTGAGCTTTCCTTCAATCCTTTTTAAGAACCTTGAAGGCATAACTTGTGTTTGAAGACAAAAGGGGCTTTGCCAGAAGTGTTCTAGAAAGAGGTTCTGGGGACTTAGAGGGTGATGAATAGCTCTGAGGAATCAGCTTGTGGATACATTCGGTGTCAAGTCTTGTGAAAAATGTGCTTGACTTTGAAACCGACAGGTTTGGAAATCAAAGGACAGGTGGCTTGCCGGAGAATGCAGTCAGTCTGCCCTTCCCAAAGGAGAGAGCTTGGAACAGAACTGGGGCCTTGTGCTAAACCCAAGTTGCTTTTGCTTCTTTTCTGAACAGAATACCAGCTTGCCCCCACCCCTACCCCTGCGTACATTATTTGCTTCTAATAGTGTTACTGGAAACCCTTTTGTGATTATTAAAAGCCACCTTTCTGGCCTTCGGGTCAGTATGTGTTTTTCAACCTGTTGCACGTGGCCGCAGTTCTCCAGGGTGAAGCCAGTCTTTAAGGGAACCCCGGGGCTGGTTCCACGTGGCAGTCACACCCTGTGGCCGTGGGATGCAGACAGGTGGCCGGCTCAGGTGATCTCAGGGTGTGTAATATTGCTGGCAGTGTGCTCAGCACTTTAACACGGTGCTTCTCAAGCTTCTGGATTTTTTAAAAATGTGGATTCTGATTCAGTAGGTGTAGGCTGGTTCTTGCAAGCAGCTGGTGTTGCTGGTCTGTGGCCTTGTTTGGTGGCACGAATTGAAACTCTCCGTTCCTGACCCCACTGGGAGCAAGTGTTCCTCCTTCCATCACCCGCCATGGCCACCACCTGCAAATTTTCCTTGGAGCCACTTGGATCAGACGGCTGCTATGGTTCCAGCTTTGTTCACGTGGTTCCTGAGTTCATAGGTTGACCTGTCTCAAGTACCATGTGCTCTCTATATTGCAAAGAGACCTAAGCTGATCATGATTCCTGGCTGAATGGAGATGGAGGTGAAGGTCGTCAGCCTGGGTGAGGCTCTGTAGACCTCGCAACTTTTTGTCAGGTCAAGAGAGAATCCTCAGGGCCCGTGGGATGGTCCTTTCCCCCTTATCCTTCTTCTAGCTCTTCCTGCTCCTTCTTCCCTCATTTATTCTTAGTGTTCTTTGTTTTTTGGACTTATATAAACAGTATCAGCTTGTAAGAATTAAAGAAAGAAGTCAGTTTATACAGAAGAGAATCAAGTCAAGAATAGATGTCTCCTCCCCAGTCCCCAGAGGTCACCACTCTTAATATGTCCTGATCACGCCTGTTAGGGTGCTTTGGCTTCAGCAACAGAAACCCAGCCCCCCTGGCTTAGCAGTTCAGGCAGTTCTTTATCTCACGTGACTGAGAGTCCCAGGGGAGGTTGATGGGGATCTAGGGTTGGTTTACTCAGTAACTATTGAGGTTCTCTTCTCACTCTCTCCTCTGTGCCATGAAAGGTCTTGCCTTCAGTGTGGACTAGTAAGAGTGACACTAACTGATTGTCTTAGACCAGTCATGTTGTACTCCTGCAGCTGAGGGTATGAAGTCAATTTCCTAGAAGTGGAGAAGCAGGGATTCCCAACAACACAGGATTCCTGTTAGGAAGGATGGAAGCGGACTGCATGTTGGGTGAGCAACTCATAGTGTCCACCACACTTCCAAAAATCTCCATGCAGTTGTGATGTTCATTCATGAATTCCTTTATTCATTCACTATCCCTTCCTTCATTTAATGTGTCAGCTTGCCAGACACTAATACTAACAATTTTATATTATTAATATATTATATATAATACATATAATTATAATAAATTGTTAATAGCAATTTATTAACATTGTTAATAAAATAACAATGGCATCACCAACTCAATGGACAGGAGTTTGAGCAAGCTCTGGGAGATGGTGAAGGACAGGGAAGCCTGACCTGCTGCAGTCCGTGGGGTCACAATGAGTCAGACACGACTGAGCTATTGAACAACAAATCCTAACAATGAATCAGTGAGAGAGGTACCACTGTTCCCCTGTTTATGGGTGAAGACGTTAAGGAAAAACTGCTCTAGTGACTTATCCAAGGTCACGCAGCTCACGAGTAGAAGAGCAGAGATTGGAACCCAGGCATTCTGGCTCCAGGTCTGTGCTTTTCCTCACTAGGTTAGTTCTCACTCTTAAAATGCTTCTTAAAGTTTGGCTCTTTCACCTCTGTGCGAATGCTAGAAGCTGGAGGTTGGGCTATATCCCCACATGAATCAGGCCCCTAACAGAGCCACCATAAGTAAAGGAATGATGTGGATGAATTCAAAACCATATTTCTGTCCCTAGATCCGAATAACTATTATCACCGACGGAATGAAATGACCACCACTGATGACCTAGATTTTAAGCACCACAACTATAAGGAGATGCGTCAGGTAAGACTCAGGTTTGTCAGAGGGAAATCTGTCTTGTGCCCAGGAGCATATAGGTTTTTCTGTTTTCATGGTTTGTTGAGGCCACACTAAATCTTGTTGTTTGGAGGTTAAGAATGCCTTGTTGGGGCTGGGGGCCCAGAGGAGGCCTCTCTCTGCAGCAGGCGGTTGAAGCAGAACTCGAGCCCAAAGTTTCTGACAGAGCACTGTAGCTCTTCCTCCTACGCTGTTGGTGGAAGCGTAAAGTGGCGCAGCCACTCAGGAAAGCAGCGTGAAGTTTCCTTCAAAAACTAAAAATAGAGCTATACCGTGTGACCCAGCAGTCCCATTCCTGGGTGTACACTCAGAGAAAACGAGCATTTTAATTTGAAAAGATTCATGTGTCCCAATGTTCATTGCCATGTGTTCATCATCAGATGATTGGCTTTAAACGATGTGGTATATATATATGTACAATGGAATATTAGCCATAAAAAAAGAATGAGCATTGCCATTTGCAGCAACATGGATGAATTAAGAAAAAACTATCCTTACTGAAGTACGTTAGGCAGAGAAAGGCAAATGTTATGACACCACTTATATATGGAATCTAAAAAATAACACAAATGATTTGATATGCAAAATAGAAACAGACTCACAGACATAGAGAACAAACTGTGGTTACTAAAGGGGAAAGGGAGGGTTGGAAGTATACGTTAGGAGTATGGAATTAACAGATACAAACTACTGTATATAAAACAGATAAGCAACAGGATTTACTGTATTGCACAGGGGGTTACAGTCGATATCTTGTAATGATCTAGAATGGAAAATAGCATATGCATTATATATATATGTATGAAAAACAATCACTTTGTTGTACTCCTGAAACTAGCATGATATTGTAAATCAAGTATACTTTAATTGAAAAAAATACTGTAGTTCTGAAGAATCACTGCGGGCTTGAGAGGTAGCACAGATTCAAGGACATCAGTCATGTGCAGAGTGGAAGAAGAAAAAGAATCTAGGACAACACTAGTGATGGTAAGAGCAGGAAGTTCTCACATAGTACCTACATCTGTTTCCCTGCATTGGGAACTGACCTGTGTTAACCTGGTCAGCCTCTCTAACCACCCTGGGAATGCAAGACTATTGTTGTCTTTATCTTACTGATGGAGAAACTGAGTCACCGAGGGAATGTATAACACCCCCTTGTTATTCAGATTCTCTGATTCTCAGTATTAGAATCACTGGAAGAAATCTGAAAAAATATCTATACTTGAAACGTGCCTCAGGCCAATTGAAGTAGAACCCTTAGGAAAAGGGACTGGGGATCTAAAGTTTTAATGAAAGCTCTGCTTGCGGTTCTAATATCCAGGCAGGTTTCAGAACAGCTGGCTGATTCCTTTATTGCTGTTAGTGCTTTAGTACTATTAGGAGGAAAAGACTTTACAGATGAGACTGTCCTCAAACATAAATACAGAAACCAGGTACTCTGGAAGTAAGTCAGAAAGAGGAAAGCAAATCTCACATACTATATGATAAATATATGTGGAATCTAGAAGAACGGTACTGATGAATCTACTTGCAGGGCAGGAATAGAGACTCCACAGAGAACAGACTTACGGACACAGTGGAGAAGAGGGTGGGATGAATGGAGAGAGTAGCATTGAAATATCTGCATTACCACGTGTAAAATAGACAGGTGGTGGGAAGTTGCTGTATAGTGCAGGGAGCCCCAGCCTGGTGCTCCGTGACCGCCTGGAGGGATGGGATGTTGTGGGGAGGTGGAGGGAGGTTCAAGAGGAATCGGACATGTGTGTACCTGTGGCTGACTCATGTTGATGTATGCAGAAACCAACACAGCATCGTAAAGCAATTATCCCCCAATTAAAAATAAATAAATTATAAAAGAAGAAAAGTAATTTAAAAAATAAACATCGCCACCATAATTAAAAAAAAAAGAAACTAGGTACTCCTAAGCTGCTGACAGCATTTGCACACTGGGTGTGGAAAGGGGGCATGGACCAAGCATTTAGTAGGAGAGGCTGAAACAGTAGCCCTGTGCTGTAATGCTGTATCTGAAACCCCTGTTCAGAACTCCCCCAGCCTCGTGCTAGAAAGCCCAGGAAAGTGCTGGCATGTGGAGAAGTCCTTAGATATCGAAGAATCTGTTGGAAGAGACAGAGCAGAGAAATAGACCCACAAAGGTGTTTAAGGAACAAGCGTTCACCAAAGGCCAAGAGAACATGGCTCAAAGCCAGGGCTCAGAGGTGCCAAGGGAGGGAGCCAGCCACCGCACCGGGGCAGGAGACTTCCCTGAGGTCGGAGCAATGAGGCTGCACCACATGGGCCCTCTGCCTCAACGCAGGGAATCAACAAACCTGGGTTCGTCCTGATGTCATTTAATCTGAGATCCTCACACACAGCTTCCAGACACCTGTCAGCACAGACGTGGAGGTGGGACGTGCTAAAGAGATTGTCTTGCTGTCTGGCTCTGCAGAAGCGAAGCTAATGTGCTCGGACTTGAGTCTGTGAGTCATCCCTGCAGCTCTCCTTCTTCGGGTGTTGATGTGACTCCGCTCACCCTTCCATTTTATGAAGCGTTTGTGTCTTGACTCAGCTTTGCTCAGTGGGCATCTCAGGACATCTTTGTGTCCAGAAATTAGGCAAATATCAACTCACCTGGTATAGTTAATGTCAAAAGCAGCCTGTCTAAATGCATTGTAAATGAGCTCACTGCACAGAGAGTCTGGTATCTTTAAACAGTTGTCCCACGTGGAGAATGAGGGCCCTTCTCACATGAAAGAGCTAATGGATGTGCTTCATTACCCTAGGGACTCTGGTCTCCATCATTTGGTAGATATCAGAGCTAAGAGGAACCTGGTAAGGCAACCGACCCCTGCAGGGGACAGTGGGTGACCACTCCGAGGTACCTGGACCCCACAACTGGAAACTGTCCTGGGAGGGGCATCTATCAATCCCGAAGTGTTCAGGCCAGAAGTGGCTTGGCATTTGGATTCCTGGCTCCTGGGGATGGAAGAGAAACCAGCACTTTTAGCAATACCCTGTATGGAGTCTGCTAAACGACTGCAGAAATCTTTCTACTTCAAGAGGAGGTACAATGTTAGTTTATAATAGTATTCAGAGAGACATTTACAAAAAACATAAAAATGAGAAGCAGACACAGGAGCAGGGATTGAAAAGAGAAAACAGAACAGCTGTTGCATTGGAGGGGAAAATCATGAGAATGTGAGCAACTTGTAGGGAAATTCTTTCTAGAGCACTGGCTTATAAGACACTGTGCTCCCCACAAGAGGGCCCCCGGGGGGCTTGGGAGCTGGGGATGGATCGGGGAGGCGGGAGGCAGTCATGCAAACATTGATATTGTGAGGCAGAGTGAGTTAATTGTTCTGAGCACTGAAAGGACTTCACACCTCCTGTAACCATTTATAATCACTTAGTCATCTCTGTGTCTGCATGGACATTTACCTTTCACCTTCATTTGGGACCGTGAGGGCAGACACTCAATCACTTAAATCCATAAAGTGTGCTGGATTCATTGTTGTTGCGGGGACATGTTTGGGGGACAGGAGGGAGAGATGGCTGGCGTAGTTGGCCGTGGTTGGGAAGGGATGGGGTTGCAGGTGAGGTCAGCTGTGGTCCAGGGCCTGTGACAGGAAGAGACAGAAGGAGGGGCATCCGAGCATCGAGGACAGGGGAGCAGGGCCGTGGAGGTGGGAGGGTTGGCAACCCACCAACCCTCTTTTGGTTTCTGGGACGGCTGGCAGTGCCGGGAGAGGCTCTGGTCCTGAGTCTGAGAAAGGAAGCTGTTTCTGGGAGCAGAGTTGGGTTTGGGGAGATCCATATGAAAGCTCTATGGACAGTAGGCTGGTGAACTCTGGCCCTCTGGCAGGAGGGGAACCTGTTGGGCCTGAAGTAGATGGGGTGGGGAGGTGTTTCTGAGGGGGGCTGGCAAGTTCTAGGGTTCCTCAATGAGATGGGGAGAGAGCCGGTCTGGTGTGCTTCCCAGGAACTGGGAGACACTACGTAATGGGAGGAAAAGTAGTGGTTTGGGGTAAAGGTTTGGGGAACACCTGTACACCCGTGGCTGATTCATGTCAATGTATGAGTAAAACCACTGCAATATTGTAAAGTAATTAGCCTCCAATTAAAAAAAAAAAAAGATTTGACTTTGGTTGGAGGCTTGGTGCTGTCAAGGCCCAAATGCTCAAAGTTCTGGTCAGTTGGCTGATAAGGAGGGTGTGAGGCAGTAGAAAGGAGAGACCTGGGTTGGGAGGCAGCCAGCTAGTGGTTTTGATTTCCAGGGCAGCTAAGGATGGTCCTGGGCAGCAGGCTGTGGGACTGCTGAGCTCTTGACCGTGGGGGTGGCGATGGTGGCAGCAAGCCAGGGCAGGCCCGCAGGCTTGCAGACGCAGACAAGCCCAGCTTCGCGCCCACGGGACACTTCCTACCTCAGCTCTCTTCCTCTCCCTCACTTTGGAACTCCTTTTCACTTGATCGGACACAGCAAATGAGTTAAGATGATAGAAGAGGACTTTTTCTCTTCTCGTTTCTTTGTTTTTTAAATCCATTGGATAAACAACATTGGATCCATATCAATACAAACCCAAAGTCTCAAGGTTAATCCTCCATGAACCCGTGGCTTTCATCCCCACTCCATTTCTCTCCAGGGTTTGTGTTTCTGTGTTCACAGAATTCATGCGATTTTGATCAGAGGATGGTTAACCACTTTGCCCAGACTGTCTCTCATCATGTGGGATCATTAGCCATGTCTCATGCTGGCTTCGTAATTGTCGCTAAAATGCTGCAGGATGAATCAGGGTTTTCTCAGCTACCTTCCTGCTCTGGTGCTTCGGGATCGCACCCCGCTTGTAATGAATAGTGAGAGAGGATGAAACATGCTACGACCAGTGTCATCATACATGTAACTTATGCTCTTTATGAAAATTTCCTCTGACGTATCCCTAGACACTGAATCACCAGGAAAGGGGCTCTTTCTTCTGTCTCCTTCAGGACCAGAGGGAAGCAACGGAGGTGGGGGTTTCAGTCACTCCCAGGATGTGATCTATTCAGAGATGAGGAAACAGAATCTTGAGGACACTGAGCATCTTACAAAACCCACCTCTCTCCAGGATAATGTTTCCCTACTGGCCCTTTGTAGACACTTTTCCTAATTACCCATTATATTAAAAACTAAGGAGTAAGATTTTGTTGGGTAAGATTGCACTTTGGAGGGTCATAAAGCTTGTAAAAGCTAAGATTTTTAGCCTCCGGAGAACCAATTTTCACTTCCTTTGGGGTGATGCCACCCTTGTTGAGGAAGCATGCTTTTGAGGCCATCAAGAAAATTCTGTCTCTTTCTCTCACTTTAAACTTCAAGACCCAAACATTTACCAGAAGACTCAAACTCCAGAATGTCCTTTTTGACTCTTTTCGGGAATAAGCAAGATGGATCACCAGCTGAGTCTTAGATGGTGCCTGTGGCCCCCAGAGAAATGCTTCCTGGCATTGCAGGGGCCCACCAGGTTTGGTGTCTCAGATGGTGACGAATCTGCCTGCAATGCAGGAGAGCTGGGTTCAATCCCTGGGTTGGGAAGATCCCCTGAAGAAGGAAATGGCAACCCACTCCTGTATTCTTGCCTGGAGAATCCCATGGACAGAGGAGCCTGGTGGGCTACAGTCCATGGGGTTGCACAGAGTGGGACACAATGAGCGACTTTCACTCACTCTTCCTAAAGGGAGTCTCCAAATGCCCGTATTCTCATTCCTGTGTGTGGAAAAGATGCTTGTGATATCACAACACCGAGAGGAAAACCTGACTGGTATAAAATTACTGCAGTGGTGGGTGGAGGATGAAGAGGTGCCTCTGATGACTCATGGTTGAGAGTCATCCCATCCTGAAATGCTGTGTCCCTGGCTGACTGCTCATCCAAGGGAAGATGCCGTTTGTCTTTTTTTTTTCACTGTCAAGGTTGTCATCTCCAGCACAGGGGGGCCCATTTCTCAGGCAGCTCTTTGAAACAGGAAGGAGGGTAGCCACTAAATGACAGCCAGGCTCTGTGCTGATCACCTAGGTAAGAGTGAGCTGGGTGGCTCTGTGTCTGCAGAACCAGTCATTGATCTGAACGCAGGACAGGGGACCACCGGCTGACCGGAATTTGGGGAGGTCCACACTGGTAGCAGAGAATGACTCTGCAGTCAGCCGGAACAGGTATGCGAGACCCAATCAGATAGAGCTTGTGCTGGGGCCATCCTCCGGAACAGCCCCTTGTAAAGTAGACAGAAGCGGTGGCAGAGCTGGTTTTGATTGCTTTACTACACCTTCATGGACAGAGTGCTAGCAAAGTGATGCTCAAAATCTCCAAGCTAGGCTTCAAAAGTACATGAACTGAGAAATTTCAGATGTTCAAGTTGGATTTAGAAAAGACAGAGGGACCAGAGATCAAATTGCCAACATCTGCTGGATCATTGAAAAAGCAAGAGAGTTCCAGAAAAACATCTACTTCTGCTTCATTGACTACGCTAAAGACTTTGACTGTGTGAATCACAATAAACTGTGGAACATTCTTAAAGAGATGGGCATACCAGACCACCTGACCTGTCTCCTGAGAAACCTGTATGCGGGTCAAGAAGCAACAGTTAGAACCGGACTTGGAACAACAGACTGGTTCCAAATCAGGAAAGGAGTACGTGAAGGCTGTATATTGTCATCCTGCTTATTTAAATTATATGCAGAGTACATCATGAGAAATGCTGGGCTGGAAGAAGCACAGACTGGAATCAAGATTGCTGGGAGAAATACCAATAACCTCAGATATGCAGATGACACCACCCTTATGGCAAAAAGCAAAGAGGAACTGAAGAACCTCTTGATGAAGGTGAAAGAGGAGAATGAAAAAGCTGGCTTAAACTCAACGTTCAAAAAGATCATGACATCTGGTCCCATCACTTTATGGTAAATAGATGAGGAAACAATGGAAACAGTGACAGACTTTATTTATTTGGGTTCCAGAACCACTGTGGATGGTGACTGCAGCCATGAAATTAAAAGATGCTTGCTTCTTGGAAGAAAAGCAATGGCAAACCTAGACAGTGTATTAAAAAGAAGAGACATTACTTTGCCAACAAAAATCCATATGGTCAAAGCTATGCTTTTTCCAGTGGTCATGTATGGATGTGAGAGTTGGACCGAGAAGAAGGCTGAGCACCAAAGAATTGATGCTTTTGAACTGTGGTGTTGGAGAAGACTCTTGAGAGACCTTTGGACTGCAAGAAGATCCAACCAGTTGATCCTAAAGGAAACCAACCCTGAATATTCATTTGAAGGACTGATGCTGAAGCTGAAGCTCCAGTACATTGGCCTGATGCGAAGAGCCACCTCACTGGAAAAGAGTCTGGTGCTGGGAAAGATTGAAGGCGGGAGGAAAAGGGGATGACAGAGGGCAAGATGGTTGGATGGCATCACCAACTTCAATGGACATGAGTTTGAACAAGCTCTGGAAGATGGTGGAGGACAAGGAAGCCTGGCATGCTGCAGTGCAAGGGGTCACACAGAATTGGACAGGACTGAGGGACTGAACAACAACAACAGCATGGACAGATAAGAACCCACGAGTCCAAAGCCCTGGCTTCACCTGGTTCTAGGTGGGTGACCTTGGGCAAACCCCTCAACAGTCTCTCTGAGCCTCAGTCTCCATATCTGTAGAATGGGTTCAGGCCCCTTTGATTATCTGCTTCGCTGGTGTTTGTCGTGGTAAGACTCAGGAGAGAAATAGAACTTGCTGTGACTAATGACGTCAGTACCGAGTCTCTTATTAAAACTTGGTGCTTCTCCTCTATGGCTCCACTTCAGCCCCGTGGTGTGTATGCCTCACAGTGAGAGATGTGAAGCTACATCAACCTTGCTTGCATGTGGTTTCTCCATGGATGGTTGGAGAACAGTCCTATACAGTCGTCTTTCTCTCTCTCACCTAGATATTATAACACAAAGTGAGTTATCATAAATCAAAGCATGTTTCCCCCTCGCAGGAGCAGTGAGAAAATTAGACCTTGAATGTCTGACCAGGGCTGCAATTGTAACACCTCATAGGTATGTTATGAGACCCAAGCTCCAGCAGCAGTGAATCCTCCATTCCTTTAGGGATGCCCCCCAGTGCCCCATGATTGCCCTCCACACATCAGTGCAGAATGCAAGAAAGGCAAGAAATGCAAAGAAATTGCAGAATGCAAGAAAGGCAAACCTGGTATGATGTCACTGCACTATGATAGAAGTTCTACCTGATATCAATTTTCCAGTTCTCATAGCTTTCAACCTACTATAACGTTTGCAGAAGACTTGTTTATGTACAATTTACCAGGACGGTCTATAGATCATTTGGCTGATAGGAATGATTTGAAAGATGCATCGAGTTTGTCCAGGCCCACACTGCCCCTCTGTGAGCCACACCCTTGCTCTATCACTGCTAGCCCAGCTCCTGCTCAGCTTGATCAAGGATGGAGCTCTCCCTGGTAGGCACACGCCCAGGCTGGGATGCCCTTGCTCACTGCTTGCAAGGCACCCGAGCTTCCCTCTTGGTCTGTAACACTCGTGTACCCTCCTGATGCCACCACGGGGAAGCATCACTGGTCTGGTGCCTGGCAGGAATGTCCTTTGAATCAGAGCTTCTTTCCCTTGGGGATGGCACAGAGGTTTCACACAGAGAGTCAGGGCGACTTACCAGCTCACCCACAGGTACCCGCTCAGAGATGGAGGCACGGCAGCCTCTGGTGGATATGCCTTTGTTCTTAGCCCCTGTGATTAGCAGACCCTCATCCCCTCCTCTGGAAGCTTGTCTGACGAGCTCAACTATCAAAGCAAAATTCAGGAAATGCCGTGTGTGTATTTGACTTTTCCATGGAAGCCTGTGTCCCCCACCCTCTCACGGCATGGCTCCCCTTACCTCGTGCCCCTTACTTGGCACCAGTGAAGTGGTGATGGTCTGACTCCGTCTGCTGCCACGCTATGGGCTCCAGGAGGGCAGAGCAGCCTGACGTCATAAACGCTCATTAAAGTATAAGAAAAAATGATATTCAGTGATAAATACTTATTTAGGCAAGGCTGTGGCTGCCCACTCCAGGATTCTTGCCTGGGAAATCCCATGGACAGAGGAGCCTGGCAGGTTACAGTCCGTGGGGTTGAAAAGAGTCGGACAGGACGTGGGGATTAAACCACCACAACCACCGTAGAGAGAAAATGCTCAGTCTTTAGGTGATGAAGCCACCAAGGGAGGTGATACCACCACCCAGGGAGGTGATACCGTAACTCAAGGAGGTGATAAACACAAGCCAGAGGTGCTGGGAGACAGGGCAGAGGGAGCAGAAGGGGGACATTCCAGAGCACTGGTGTGTGGGAGGGTGGGAGTGTGCCGGGGGCCGTGGGAGGGGGCTGTCTCCTTGAGAGCTCTGCCCGCTTCGGTGCATGGCCATCATGGCTCAGAACCGTGAATCCATCTTATTTTGCAGCTGATGAAGGTCGTGAATGAAATGTGCCCCAACATCACGAGGATTTACAACATCGGCAAGAGCCACCAGGGCCTGAAGCTGTACGCCGTGGAGATCTCCGACCACCCCGGGGAGCACGAAGTCGGTGAGGCTGCCCATCAGCAGTGCCCTGGCCCTTCGCGTCTGGTGCTTTCTTAAAGAGCGAGGCAGAGGTTACTCTGAGAACATTCATGAAACAGGGCGGGAGCTGGCCACGCCCCCACTCTCGCAGACAGGTTCTGCCAGTTTTGGTTCTGTGTAGTATACTCTTGCCTGGAGAATTCCATGGACAGAGGAGCCTGGGATGCTACAGTCCTTGGGGTTACAAAGAGTCAGACACGACTGAGTGATTAACACTTTCACTTTGGGGCTTACCTTGTGGCTCAGGCTATAAAGAATCTACCTGCAATGCAGGAGACCCGGGTTAGATCCCTGGGTCCGGAAGATTCTCTGGAGAAGGGAGTGACAACCCACTCCAGTATTCTTGCCTAGAGAATTCCATGGACAAAGGAGTCTGGTGGGTTACAGTCCATGGGATCGCAAAGAGTCAGATACGACTAAGTGACTAACACTTTCACTTTCACCCCACATTGTATAATGTAGGCTGTCAAATTATTTAAGCTAGAAGTACCCAACTTTTCTCCAAATGGACCACACTTAATTCTGTTCTTCTCTGAGACCAGTCACACTAACCAAAAAGGAAAATGGCTGAGATGCTTAAGACAGACTCCTTTTTCTGGAGAAAATTCTGGATTCCCTGGTCATTAAGGGTTGGAGTTAGAGGTGGTTCCCTTAATCTTCTGTTAAATTTCCATCCTGTTTTCAAGCATTTCCTGTTTTTAGCCACTTCTCATTTAATCACTGCCAAAGTTGTGTTCTCCTACAGGTTAGGGGATGTAGGGTGGGAGTGGGGATGGGTGAAACATTTTTCTTTTTGCTAAAATTGTGAACCCTTTAGAAGTCCACTGGAAATGGATTTAATGTAGAGATTTGTCTGATTCTCTTGACTTGAATGTTCATCAGTATTCCAGGAGTTTCTCTCAGGAATGTCTTTTAAAGGGTGAGGGCTTTATCTGTGGGTAAAGTCACATTTCCTCCAAAGCAGTAGCTTGGCCAGTGAGAGAGGCAGGAGTGCTGTCAGCTCACGCCCAGCACTGATAAAGCCAACAGTGAAAAAGCTGAGCTTTGAAAAGAACAAGGTCAAAGACAGCCCCCCTTTACAAAACTGTGTCATTGCTGACTTCCCATGACACTGCTTTCTGCTTGCATTTATCCATCTCCGTATCTTTATAAAATTAAATACAAAGTCCTTTTAAGAGAAAGAATTACCTCCCCAAATAATTGCTACGATTTGTGTTTAATTTGTAACTTTTAAACCCTAAACCCTGTGTTATTTTATCTATTCTTGCCAAATAAGAATAAACAGTCTTACTTTTTGGCTGTTACCATCTAAGGTTTTTCTACACATTTTCTTATATACCTCTCTGGGAACTAATAAAAATTGTACTCATGTAACTTCAGTTGAAGTGCAAGAAGAGAGAAAATTGCACATTTCGGTTATTCAGAAATTTCTTTCCTAATACAATGTGCTGAGGACTGTGTTGCTGTAAGCATCCGATATGATCGCCTGTTTTTTCCCATCTTTGAGTAAAGGTGAGCCCGAGTTCCACTACATCGCGGGGGCCCACGGCAACGAGGTGCTGGGCCGGGAGCTGATGCTTTTGCTGATGCAGTTTCTGTGCCAGGAGTACTTGGCGGGGAACTTGCGCATCGTCCGCCTGGTGGAGGAGACCCGGATCCACATACTCCCCTCCCTGAACCCCGACGGCTACGAGAAGGCCTACGAGGGGGTAATGGACGGCTTCCCTCCCCCAGCACAGCAGCTGGCCCCCTGCGCACGCGCGCACACACACACACACACACACACACACACACACAATGCACTGAGCCAGGAGTTGACCTGAATTCCATATCACCAGCTTTCTTTTCCAGTGTCTTTCTGCTGAGATGGTTTATGAAAGGTTTATGAAAGATGCATTGCACTAATTGAGCATTCTGGGGACCCTGAACAGTGAACACACTGACAGACTGAATAAAAGGATGCGAAAAGTAATGTTGTTATATGTACAGTGGGGCCAATAGGACAGAATAATAATAACACCTAACATTGATTGAACACTTAATCAAAGCATATTCTAGCCTTGATGATTACCTATAAATCCTCTCATCAGTTTTCTGAGGACAGCTCTTTTTATTATCCTGATACATGGTTTATATTTTATGTTCTGGTTAGAACATAGAATTTATAGGTTATAGTTATATATGGAACATATATATGTATAGAATTGTGTAGAGATTACACAATTAATTGTGTAGAGTTAGTATAATGTTGTATCATGTATTCATAATTATATATCACAGTATCTGGGAATAAAATGGCAAACTATACTTTAAACAACGGTACCCATCAAATACAGATTTACAGTGCAGATTTTTGCTTGTGTTTATTGGTGCAAATGGTTAGAGATTTGTGTTGCTAAATCGTGAGCCAGAATTGCCAGGTGAACATATTAATGTGGCGGCTCTTGATTTTTGCGGTGACAGAGTCTTAAGCTTATTACTACTTGGAGTTTCATTCAACCAGTGTAGGAGAGGTGAAGGCAGGAGAGGCAGGAGAGAACTAAGCCTTTTCTGAGGACTGCTCTGCGGCAGGATGACTGCACGTCCCCTCTTCAGAGTGGGAATAATAATGACTGCATAGAGTGGGAATAATAATAATGATGACTACGTTATCCATCACCCACCAAACATTAACAGATTATTAGCCAAATAGTCTTCCGTGGATGTCATCTTTGTGTCAGAGGGTGTTTGGAGGCTTCGAGGCATACCCCAGATGGAGACCGAGATGGAGTGGTCTTGTGTGTGAGAGACAGGAGAATCCAGAGGTCTGTGGGCCCCTCACATTCTGAATTTTCTCCCAGGGTTCCGAGCTAGGAGGCTGGTCCCTGGGCCGTTGGACCCATGACGGAATTGACATCAACAACAACTTTCCTGACTTAAACACACTGCTCTGGGAGGCAGAGGACCGACAGAACATCCCAAGGAAAGTTCCCAATCACTACATCGCCATCCCTGAATGGTTTCTGTCTGAAAATGCCACGGTGAGTAAAAATACCCCATCATCTGTAAAGCAGAGGAGGCCAAAGTAAACACCCACTGCTACTGGCAGAGGATGTAACATTTAAGAACAAGACAAAATCATTTTTTTCCTTTCAGGTCTTCTCCAAAACTAGGGAAGTGTGCTAGATAATAACTACCTATTAAATTGAAATGCGAGGAGATTCTTCCCAGAAGAGAAATCATTTAATTAGATTCCTTTGCAGTACTTTCAAAAAAAAAGAAAAACCCTTGACTTGAATTGTGCATGTTCATTAATGTCATTATTACCCTTACGTTTGGCAGTGCTGTGAAATTTCAGTGACATTGTCCTTAGACCTCACTGATTGCTTGAGATATCTTATTTTTATTTCATGAATCCCTATGGATTTATTACTCATGGTACTTCTTTGGAAAGAAAAATGCATTTGGATGGGAAGTATTTCCCCCAAATTTCTTAGGTCTAGTTAAGCAAAAAGTATCTTGTAGAATAAATAATCTTCACAAAATTTCCCATGCCTCTTATTGTCTCCTCTACTCACTGTAAATTCTCTTATAGCCTTAGTCTTTGGCCCTATATGCTCTTTAAAAAGGTCTGCCTTGATTGCTATATATGTGAGTGCTAGGTTTGGCTATACCAACAGAAACAGTGGCCTAAAGGGGTAGAAATGTCAACCTCGGATACACACATGATACCACTCCAATGAAAGAAAATGAAGAGGAGCTAAAGAGCCTCTTGATGAAGGTGGGAGAGGAGAGTGAAAAAGCTGGCTTAAAACTCAAATTCAAAGCACTAAGATCATGGCCAGTCCATCCTAAAGGGAATCAGTCCTTAATATTCATTGGAAGGACTGATGCTGAAGCTGAAACTCCAATACTTTGGCTACCTGATGTGAAGAACTGACTCATTGGAAAAGACCCTGATGCTGGGAAGGGTTGAAGGCAGGAAGAGAAGGGGATAACAGAGGATGAGATGGTTGGATGGCATCACCGACTCAGTGGACATGAGTTTGAGTAAACTCTAGGAGTTGGTGATGGACAGGGGGGCCTGGCGTACTACAGTCCATGGGGTCGCAGAGTCGGACATGACTGAACGACTGAACTGAACTGAACTGAACTGAAGATCATGGCATTCAGTTCTATTACTTCATGGCAATTATGTGGGAAAAAAGTGGAAACAGTGACAGACTTTATTTTCTTGGACTCCAAAATCATTGCTGATGGTGACTGCAGCTATGAAATTAAAAGACACTTACTCCTTGGAAGAAAAGCTATGACAAACCTAGACAGCATATTAAAAAGCAGAGACATCACTTTGCCGACGAAGGTCCACATAGTCAAAGCTATGGCTTTTCCAGTAGTCATGTAAGGATGTGAGAATTGGACCATAAAGAAAGCTGAGTGCTGAAGAATTGATGCTTTCAACCTGTGGCACTGGAGAAGACTCTTGAATCCCTTGGACTACAAGGAGATCAAACCAGTCAACTCTAAAGGAAATCAACCCTGAATATTCATTGGAAGGACTGACACTGAAGCTGAAGCTCCAATACTTTGGCTACCTGATGCAAAGAGCCGACACATTGGAAAAGCCCCTGATGCTGGCAAAGATTGAGGGCAGGAAGAAAAGGGGATGACAGAGGATGAGATGGTTGGATGGCGTCACTGACTCAATGGACATGGGTTTGAACAAACTCTGGGAGATAGTGAAGGACAGGGAAGGTGGGCATCTTACAGTCCTTTGGGTCACAAAGAGTTAGACATGACATAGCAACTGAACAGCAACAACAATGAGGTAGACTTTTTTTTTTCTTTTTTCACATAAAAGGACCCTGGGGGCAGATGGTTTAGGGCCAGGCAAATCGGAGCCCCGTGATCATCAGGAACCCAGAAGTTGTCTTTCTGCTTCCACATGTTAGCAGTTGGACTTTCATTCTCAGGGTCATAATCCAACTTGGCAGTTCCATCATGGAACCTCAGCTGTCATGCCTTCAGAGGAAGAGTAGAGAAAAGGTTGAAAAAAAAAGTCCTCCTCTCAGATAAGTCAAACCACCCCAGTGTTCTTGCCTGGAGAATCCCTGGGATGGGGGAGCCTGGTGGGCTGCCGTCTATGGGGTCGCACAGAGTTGGACACGACTGAAGCGACTTAGCAGCAGCAGCAGCAGAGAAGTCAATGAACTTTAAGAGGCATTCCTAGAATTCCTACATAATACTTTGTTTAAATCTTATTGGCCATGATTTAGTCAAAACATGATATCAGTGCACCAAAGGGAAGGCTGATGAATGCTATATTTTAGGCAAGCACATTTGCAGTCTCAAAAATAATTATTAATTGACTTCTCTTCTTGAGGAATCAAGGGAGAAAGGATGGATAGATAGAAGGCAGCTCTCCAGTTCTTTCTCAGAGCTCCAGCTCACATCACACGTGGGTACCACTTCCTGGAGGAGAGCCAGCCTGGTTGCCTCATTTAATGTTGCACAGGATGGTGTCATCCGGTCTCTCAAGAAGCAAATGATGGGGACAGACAGGGAAGTACCGCATGGTTTAGTTAGGATGCCCAAGGACGGCTTATGGGAGATAAAGGACTTGGACCCTCTAGGTCTTCTGAATCCTTTCTCACATGCTAATTCCATCCTAGAAGTCTTCTTTTTCAAGCTAACATACTAGTGACATCTGGCAAAGCTGAGGATTCAAGTGATGTTATAATTTGGGAACCCTTGGACCAAAATTGGAGCATGGTTGCCAGCTTTCTTAGCCTTGAGGTGTTAAGAGAGAATTATTTTAGCACAGTGATGGGAAGTCCATGAATTTCAGTCTTTGCATTAAGATCAGAATTTAGTTTTTGAGCTTGTTCTTTAGAAACACAGGGAGAATTTTGCAACCCCGCCATCACCAATACCTTTCTCAGTTATGGACAGGTGTGATAGATAAGGTGATGATGATGAAAGTGTTGTCCCTTCAGTCGTGTCCGATTCTTTGTGACCCTGTGGACTCTAGCCCACCAGACTCCTCTGTCCATGGGATGCTCCAGGCAAAAATACTGGAGTGGGTTGCCATTCCCTTCTATGGGGGAATCTTCCTAAGCCAGGGAACAAAGCCAGGTCTCCTGCAGGTGGATTCCTTACTGTCTGAGCCACCAAGGAAACCCCCTGAGATAGAGATTTGAATAACAATTAACAGCCTTGACATAGGAAACTGTAAGAATTCTACAAGAAGTAGGAGTATTTATTGTTCTAAATAATCCCTGGAGCATTTTCAAAAATTGATGGCATTCTGGCCTATAATGGAAACCTCAGCAAAGTTCAGAAAATGAGAGCCAGGCAGACCATGAATCTTTCACCACCATACAATTAAACTAGCAGACAGTATGAAAAGATCTCTAAGTATTTAGAAAATTTTTTTAAAAAAGAAATTTCTCAGTAATGGGTCAAAGAAAAACTTCACATTGACAACTAAAAATAAGTAGAAATTAATGATAATGAGAACACTAAATATCAAAATTGGTGGCTGTTGTTCAGTCCCTCAGTTGTGTCCGACTCTTTGCAACCGCATGGATAGCAGCACATCAGGCTTCCCTGTCCTTCACCATCTCCCGGAGTTCGCTCAAACTCATAGCCATTGAGTTGGTGATGCCATCCAACCATCTCTGCTGCCCTCTTCTCCTTTAGCCTTCAATCTTTCCCAGCATGAGGGTCTTTTCCATTGAGTCAGCTGTTCGCATCAGGTGGCCAAAGTATTGGAGCTTCAAAATTGGTGGAGAACAGCAAAAAATGCTTTCAGAAATTTATACTTTTGAATGATTACATGTCAAAAGAAGAAAGATTGAACATCAACTAACTTAAGAAGTAAGCAAAAGAGTAACAGAAGAAACCCCCAAAAATGTAGAAAGATTTTGATTAAAAAGAGCAGAAATCAATGACATGATAGAAAAAAACCAATAATTTGTCTGCAGAAAGAAGCATTTGATAAAATTTAACAACATTTACAATGATTCCTCAGGGTGAGGAGAAGAGTTTTAAATGGCATTTATTATAGAAAATTGGTAAATTCAACTACATCAAAATAAGGAAGCCCATTCAGCAGAAGATTTTCAAAACTATCATAAGAGCAAATGAAAAACTGAGGTGTTATTTGAAAATTATTTAATTGGAAAAAAACTAGAATTTTTAAAAGAATAAAGAAAAACAAATGAGAAAAATAGAAACAACAGAAAAATGGGTAAAAGATATGCAGAGGCAATTCATGGAGGAGGAAACATATGGTCAGAAAACAAGGAAAGATGTTCAGCATTACTAGTGTTAAGGAAATGCAGATAAGAGAACATTTGATATCCATTGATTGGGAAAATTAACAGTAGCCAAGCGTTGGGGAAGATACAGGACAGTGAATCTCTTACTCATAGTGAGAGCTTAAATTAGCACAGTAACTTTGGAAAATAACTTGATTATTTTGTAAATTGAAATATGTATATATCTATGACTGCAGTTATACTTCTGGCCATTTATGCAATATAAATTTCGGCACAGTTATAGGAGATCTGGATTCGATCCTTGGGTTGGAAGATCCCTTGGAGGAGGGCATGACAACCCACTGCAGTATTCTTGCCTGGAGAATCCCCATGGACAGAGCAGTCCATGGGTCACAAAGAGCCGGACTTGACTGAGCAATTAAGCACATGTTAGCACAGCCCACCAGAAGACGGCGCAAGTTAAGAGCAATGCTGTTCACTATAGCAAAAATGGAAAATATTCTACATGCCCATCATAACAAGAACAGATAAATGATGAAATCTTCATATTGAAGTGAAAAAGACTGAACAATGTAGCTTTATGCAACACAGATTAGTCTTACAAACATGTTAAGAGGGAAAATTTACAGAAGACAATAGTATGTTATCCACCCATTTTTTAGATCAAAAGAAAATAAAGCCAAGTAATACATATGTGTGTGCCTGCTCAGTCGCTCAGTCATGTCCAGCTCTTCCAGACCCCATGGACTGTGGCCCACCAGGCTCCTCTGTCCATGGGATTTTCCAGGCAAGAATACTGGAGTGGGTTGCCATTTCCTCCTCCAGGGAATCTTCCCTGACCCAGGGATCGAACCCTATGCATACATGTATGGAGTTAAACAAAAGAGACTCAGAATCATATTGTTTAGGGTATAGTGATTACCTCTGAGTGAGAAGCAGGAGGATGGGAACCACAGATGTGTGCAGAACGGTCAATAAAAGCTGACCATTGGGATGGATGGTAGGTTCACAGGTGTTTATTATATCAAAATATGAAAGAAGAGGGCAAAGCATGGATCCATAATGATCCTGCATTGTGAGCTGAATTCTATGCTTCATCCAACTCAAGCCCCTGATGTGTTTAGGAATAAAAACAAAGCTTAATGAATCCTTCAGGTTACTTTCATTCCTTAATCAATTTGCTATACAGCACAGTTAGACCATTTCCAATGTTTATTTCTTTTCCATTATTAGTTTTTTTCCTACTGGAATTATCTTCAGAGATACCAGTAACTTATGACAAATATTAATTCATTGATCAGTATTTGACCGTATCAAGTTTTCCAGTTTTAGGTTTTGTTTCCTTGCTTTCTTCTCTCCTTCCTTCCTTCCCTTCCTGCCATTCACCCTCTTTCCTTCCTTTTTTTCTTTTAACTTTTTAGTCATAAAAAGTTCAGCATACAAAACTCAAGAGGGAGCTGTAGAGAATCCCATCCATGTACCCATCTCAACATCAACACTTATAAATTCACATTTCATCTACATAGTCAGTCACTTTCTCCTCCTCCCCAAGACTATTGAAGAAAATTCCAGACATCATGTCATTTCATCTGTAAATATTTCATTAAGTATCCTTAAAAGATCTGACTCTCTTTTAAAGCCATAAATTACTATTATCATATCAAAATAAACTATCTCTTAGTATTATAAAATATCCAATCAGTGTTTGCATTTCTCCTATAATCATTTTTCATTGCTCTCTCTTACAGTCTGTTTTAACTGGGATCTCATTAAAACCCACTCATTCTGATTAGTTTATAAGCCTTTCAACCCTTCTTTAAACTGTACTTTTCTCCTGTATCACTTTCTCCCTTTTCTTCTTGTAATTCTATTGTTGTTTATCTTGTAACAGCTATAATATAAGCAACTAGATTGTCTTCTAGCATTTTCTACTGTCTGGATGCTGCTCACTGTATTCTCGTGATGTAACATATTTCTCTGTGTTTCTTATAAATTAGCAGTGAGATTCAGACCACTCAGCCATGTAGACTAGAGAGGGGTTGGTAACGTAGGTCTCATCCCGCCCAGGCCTGTTTCTGTATAGTGTTTGCTGGAACACAGCCATAGTCATCATCCGGGTATTGTCCAAGGTACCACACTGCTCCAGGGGTAGAGTTGAATATTTGCTGCTGGCAGACTTGAGTAGTTCCAACAAGAACGTCAGGGCCCTCAATGCCTAAAATATTTCCTATCTGGCCTGTAATAGAAAAAGTGCTGACCCCTGCACTAGAGGCCTCCTCACGTGCAGGGTGGATGGATTTTCAGGTGTGTGTTCTCTCATCAGGAGAGAACTGTGTTTTCTTCCCTCTCTCTATGCTGTTTGTTATCACTCACTTCACTTCAGTCGCTCAGTCGTGTCCGACTGTTTGCGACCCCATGGACCGCAGCACGCCAGGCTTCCCTGTCCATCGCCAACTCCCGGAAATTACTCAAACTCATGTCCATCGAGTCGTTGATGAACATTAATTCATTGACTGACCCATGAATTCAGTGAAGCTGCCAAGTGCTGATCCTTTAATTCTGTCATTCCCTCTTTGTGTACTAACTGGAGTATTCCTCCAATAAGAAGTTTCTCTGATTTCTCTTTTTATCCATTACTTCCACAATGGCCAGTTTTCCTGAGAAAAATTTTGAGATTCTAAATTTTGCTCTGATGATGCCATAAAATGACTGCTTTTCCAACTATGTCCCTGTTTGGAAAGCTCAGGAGAGAAGGCAATTCCCTTCTGCTTTTATTTCTCAAATGTGCTAAACTTGGGCATGTTCACAGGTGGCCGTGGAGACCAGGGCGGTCATAGCCTGGATGGAGAAAATCCCCTTCGTGCTGGGTGGCAACCTGCAGGGGGGCGAGCTGGTGGTGGCCTACCCCTACGACATGGTGAGGTCCCTGTGGAAGACCCAGGAGCATACCCCCACGCCCGACGACCACGTCTTCCGCTGGCTGGCCTACTCCTACGCCTCCACGCACCGCCTCATGACGGACGCCAGGAGGAGGGTGTGCCACACGGAGGACTTCCAGAAGGAGGACGGGACCGTCAATGGGGCTTCCTGGCACACTGTGGCCGGAAGTAAGTCTCTGATGGTCCTGCTGTCATCGTGGGGCCCAATGACAATGGACCGCTGGATGGAGGTGGGGGGGACCCTGTGGTCCAGCTCTCCATCTGTCCTTGGTCTCAGCAGAGTAACTACCGTAATTAACCATGTATAAGGTGCGAGCACCCTGCCTAGTCTCTTCTTTCACCTTCACAGTAGTCTTCGAGCGGATGTGGCTTACTCCCCTGTTATAAAAGAGGTAACCGGGGCTTTGAGATGGGAAAGGGATCTGTCCAAGCTCCCAAGGAGCAGAACTGGGATCTGTCTGACCCGGTAGTCTACTGTTAGCCGCCGAGCTGTTTGGATGTTACAGGGTCAGAGTTGGTAAGCGTAGTCTTAGGGGAATTATTGGCCAGAAAAGCAAACCCAGCGAAGGGGCAGAGAGCACACTGGTGCTTTGCAGCCAGGGCGCTGTACCCGGAGCCATTCCCACCATGGGAGACGCCCCTTGCTGCCAGCCCTTGGAAGGAGGGGGCGGGGGAACAGTGAGCCCATGCTCAAGACTTTTTCAAATCTCTCATTCACTGGAGGCCCACCCCCCACCCCCGTCCCACGGGGGCGTCTGGTCAAAGTCCCAGTGTTGTGATGCAGGGAATGTGATGTCCTGTCCCCAGCATCCACTGAAAACAGAGAGGAAGCCCAGCAGAGACTTCAGTGATTCTTTCGCAGCAGCCAGAGGACCTCATGGTCCAAGTTTCAGCATCAGCCCTTTGTTTCCTGGGTCAGGGCTGCTCCTGGCCTAGAGTTCTCGAGTGAGGAGAGTTGAAGACATCACATTCCCTAAGGTGTCTCTGCACTGGGATGCCAAGACCCCAGATGTAATGTTCATTGTTCATTGCTTATTTTCTTGACTTTGTGAAGGTTGGTCAAACTACTCCGTGTCAGATAGACCTCAGTTCAAATTCTAGTTCATCACGTAAATGCTGTGTGGCTCTGGACAAGTTACTTTGCCTTTCTGAACCCCCGTCTTTTCCATTTGTAAAATGGGCTTGATGTTATTGGTGATGGTAAGGACGACGATGATGGCCACCCTGGGACTGTTGCGAGGATGACAGGGATGATGGATGTGTGTTCTGTGTCTTGCTTGTCAGCAGCACTGTTATAAATTCCCACCCCTCTTCTCCCACCTCTTCTAGGAGCGTGCTCACCAAGAAACCTCTTTTATGAGCATAACCAAGCAGAGTTGTTTTATTTTTCTCCATCATGGCTTTGCTCTGTTCAAAGTAAAAAAAAAAAAACCCTAATTATCAACTATCAATACCCCTAGCCCTGTCTATCAAGAAAAATATCCTAATAGCCAAAAGCATGCTTGCTTGTTCAGCTCTAGCCCTAAAAACGTACAATAATCTTTATGAGGAGTATCTGTGTAGTTTTTGTGGCTGCTGTGACTAAATTAGGTTCGGACACTGCGGAATTTGTCAGCAGCAGGTCAATAGCACTGTTCTGAGAAGTCGGTTGCTATCTAATCACATGGGCAGCATTTGATTTGTTTCTGTCCATTATATTTTCCATTATGCCGGGGACTTTTGTGGCAGAGCCATGTGGTGGCTCGAGCCTTTTTAATCATTCTTCCCGCAGGCGGTGTGATGAAGCCTGCAGATTCATTTCTTTGTAGACTAATGAGATGCGATTTCTAATTTCCTTTCCTCCCCCCGCCCCTCCACTCCTCCTTTGTATTCGGGTCTTGCTGGCTCATTAGCGGTGACCGACAGGTCTTAGCTAGTGGGAGTGGGCCGCTGGGGAGAGGGTCCAGTCCTGCTCAAAAGGCACGTCGTTTGCCGTGTGTGTGTTTCAGCTCCAAAGAGATCTGAGCCCTTCTTTGTGTCAGCTGCCGTCCGGCGTCCTCTCCCCGATGAGGAAGGCAGATGTTGTGACAGCTCTGGGCACACGGTGCTCTAAGGAATGTGATGTCCTGTGTTCCCGTACTGAAGCTGTGACTAGAGCAGGATGCCAGGCCCAGGGAGAACATAGAGAAGGTCTCGCCATCCCCAGCCAGGACCCGAGGCTTGGGAAGTGCTATCAGGGTCGCCCCACACCTTCTGCCCACACGTTTCGCTTTCGAAGCCATTCCTCACCCAGGATTCTCTGCTGCACCACATTCACTAAAGGACTGGAATTCAGTGTTAACCATAGCCTGACTCAGGCTTTTCCACCGTTCTCCCGGTTTCTCATCATTTTCCCAATTCTTTGAGTACTTCCGGTGCTATTGAAGACACACACTTTTTGCAAAGGGGCATCCCAGGTGGCACAAGTGGTAAAGAACCCGCCTGACTTTGGAAGAGACATCAGAGACGTGGGTTCGATCCCTGGGTTGAGAAGATCCCCTGAAGGAGGGCATGACAGCCCACGCCAGTATTCTTGCCTGGAGAATCCCCAGGAGAGGACAGAGGAGGCCTTCAGGCAGGCTACAGTTCATAGGGTCACAAAGAATTGGCCACAAGTAAAGTGACTAAACATGCATGCATGCATGCATGCATGCACTTACTGCAAAATGGCAGGCCCACCTCAGAGTTTTAAATATCACATTTATTTTAGTACTAACAAAGTCTAAAGTTTGGGATAATGAAAAGTGTGTGTGTGTGTGTGTGTGTGTGTGTGTGTGCGCACGCATGTGCACATGTGCATGCTTGGAGCAGTCCTGCGATTTAGGAGTACCTGCCTGTCATGCTGCTCCGTGTCCACAGGCCACCCTGCACTGTCTGGGATTCCACGTCTCAGGTTCCACTGAATGAGCTGGCCTGGTATTTTGACCAACCTCCTTCAGCCAGACCAGGCCCTGCAAGAGATTTTCCATGAACTTGACGTTGTTCCAGCCTGCTTATCCCCCTGCTGTTACCTTCCATATTTTATCACAAATGTGATCAAAGGTCCATGGCTGCTGACACGTGAATGGTTCAGATCTGGAATCTGGTAGAGAGAGAGAGAGAGGCTGTATGTTTTGCACCATTTTCTCTGTGACTCAACCAATCAGGCAGCAGGTTGATACAAAAGTGCTGTTAACACCCAAAGCTGTGATGTGATTTTTATACAGACTTTTTTGCTTTAGGATGCTCCATTGAGCACTCCAAGGAGGGAGGGAAGATGGGTCAGGTGAGGCTGGTGGAAGCACAGGAGGACCTTTTAGCCCCGTCCACAGAGGAACCAGCCCCGCCGACTCCTGCTCTCTGCGGCCTTGACTCTCAGAACCCAGGGAAGGCTCGGTGGAGGCACCTTCTGCAGGGGGAATCCTCCTGGATGTCACTTAGGACACAGTAGCACTGTGTTCTTGCTAATCACCCTGTTGCCCAAAGCTGAAAATGTTGAGTAGAGATCCCCTGAACTTCATGCCATCTGACATTCATTTGTTCATTTTGCAAATGTTGGGTACTTTAGTGGGATGGGGCCCCCAAAAGATATGTCCACTTCCTAATCTCTGGAACCTGTGTATGTGACCTTATTTGGAAAATGGGTCTTTGTAGATGTCGTTAAGGATCTCAAGATGAGGTCATCGTGGGTTGCCCAGCTGAACCCTAAAATCAGTGACGGATGTCCTTATAAGGGACAGACAAGGAGAAGACACAGACACTGAGAAGGCCCCGTGAAGACAGAGGCAGAGGCGGGAGTGGTGTGGCCACAAGCCAAGGAACACCACGGGACATCGGGAACTGAAAGAAACAGGAAGAGCCTTTGGAGGGAGTGTGGCCTTGGCAACACCTTGATTCTGGACTCCAGGCCTCTAGAATTATGAGAGGATAAGTTTCTGCTGCTTTAGACCACCCAGTTGGTGGTCCTTGGTACCAGCAGCCCTAAGAAATGAACACAGGGACCAAGTCGTGTTGTAGGCATGTCAGGATGTATGTGGCTGTCTGCTCTCCAGCTGGGTGGAGAAGGCATTTGTCCTACAGTCCCTGAGCAGGGGTGAGCAAGTTCTAGGCAGGTGGGGTTCAAACCCCAGCTCTGTCCAGACGCGTGATTCTGGATACATTCCCTAATGCATTCCTGGACCATTCTCTGCCTCAATTCTCTTGTCTGTGAAATTGGGCTACAACTACCTACCTCTCTGCTGGTTTGTGATGAAGAGTAAGTGAGCTTGGCCCCAGAGCGCTAAAGACAGGTTCTGGCTTATGTAGGAACTCAGTAAATGGTGAGATGGATAGCTGTGTTCATGAGTTAGAATAGACAACTACAGGTTTCATTCCACAGTTACAGAGCTGTAGCTGAGAGCAGCATAATGACTGAGCTAAATTTAAACACTAAAAATACACATTATTAATGATACCTTTAAAAATAGCAAAATAAAAAGCAACAGAAACGAAAGAAAAAGAGACAATAAGAATTTAACAAGATAAAAAAAAGTGGGGCTTCTCTGGTGGCTCAGTGGTAAAGAATCCGTCTGCCAATGCAGGAGACACGAGTTTGATCCCTGATCCAGGAATATCCCACTTGCCGTGGAGCAGCTAAGCCCGTGGGCCACAGCTACAGAGCCTGTGTCTGAAGCCTGGGAGCCACAACTGAAGCCCTCGGGCCCTGGAGCCGGTGCTCGGCAACAAGAGAAGCCACTGCAATGAGAAGCCTGCGCATCACAGCTGGAGAGTAGCCCGTTTGCTGCAACTACAGAAAAGCCCACACAGCAACAGATATCCAGCACAGCCAAAAAATAACTAAAATGATTACAACAAAGTTAAACAGGAAAAAGAAGTGATACCTCTATCCTAAAAATAGTATTAAACTGATTTCAATAAAATGAAAATGATTTTATCTAGAAGACACTTATCTCAGTCCTCCTTCTCTCAGATATGTTCTGCATATGCCTGTCTTCCCCATAAACTGTTCCAGCTGCATCTTGTCTCTCTCAACACCTGTCCCATCCCCCTTTCTGTTCCCCAGCAGTTGCTCTAATTAATGTTTTGTGTAGTGTAGATACTTGATGCCTCCTTGTTCAAATGAAATCCTCAGAGTCATGTGCTTGAATGTTCTTGCTGTCTCTCGTGCCCCTCTGAGCACCGGGAAGCTAAAATGTTACCTGGTTGGCTTGGCAGGTCTCAACGATTTCAGCTACCTTCACACAAACTGCTTCGAGCTGTCCATCTATGTGGGCTGTGATAAATATCCACACGAGAGTGAGCTGCCTGAGGAGTGGGAGAACAATCGGGAATCGTTGATCGTGTTCATGGAGCAGGTAGGACGTGGGCACTCGGCAGGGATGGGGGCTCGATAGAGAGCGAAGCCCTTGAGACGGCCAAAAGCCTGAGGTCAAAGCTCGTCCCATCATCCTGGGCTGGCGACTGTGGTGTTGTCTCTGAGTTCTGTGTCAATGCCAGTCACTCCCGCTGGTTTGTGGTGAGTGAGACTACTTCAGGGGCTCCAAATTGCTGCTCCGTTGGGAGGGGTGATTTGTGTCCAGGAAGCATGCCCAGGCTTCCTGTATTCATCTGCTGGGTCTAACATCACAAAACACACAGGCTGGGAAGCAAGAGAAGGCTGGAAGTCCAAAATGAGTGTGTCGGCAGGTGGGTTTCATTCCAAAGCCTCTCTCCTTGGCTTGCAGGTGGCCACCTTCTCACTGTGTCCTCACATGCTCTTTCCTCTGTGTGTGCACACTCCTGGTGTCCCTGTGTGTCCAGGTTTCCTTCTCTTTTAAAGACGTCAGACGATGGCGCCTTCAGTTCTTTAAAGATGCTATCTACAAGAGCAGTCAGCTTCTAAGGTACTGGTGGGGTGGGGACTTCAACATATGGATTTGTTGGGGACACAGTTCAACCCATAACATCAGCTCAGAGGCTGAGGGCTAACTGCTGCAGGTAGCAGAGTGGCACCTGGGAACAGTTCTAAATCATGCCAGCCAGGTTCTGCTTGGAGCTGGTGAGCATCTGCTTGTAGCCAGTAAGGAAGCCTTGCTGTGTATGCTAGGACCTTCACACACCTTTCTTTTCTTCTGTTCTCAACGACACACCTGTCTTGTAGTATTGGGCAAAGTGGCTTTTGTTTGGTACTAAAACTAGCCAAGTAACATCCATTCCCCACTAAGGATAAACTCACAGAAACCAGAGAGAGAAAAGTGAATGTTGAACTTCAGATGACTCTACCATGACTCTCATTCGTTAGGAAGTAAGATGCTGAGGTTGTACTGAGAGGTTGCCCTTCTTCCATGGGTGGCTATAGATGAGTCAGAAAAAACATCTTAGCCAGGGGCTTGGGCCGCCAGCTTCCTGATACCTGGCACCTCCACATGGGTGGCAGAGGTTGGCACCAGGTTATATCCATAGCATCCAAGTCTGATCCATGAGGGTCCTGGGAGGGTCAGTGCAGCCCACAGTGCACCTTCCTGGCAGAGAAGGCTGTGAACCTGTTTTCCTTTCTTGGGAAGCCATGAGCACACTCTTCATCCCCACTCTGGAATTCTGTTGGGGAAGCCTCCTTTTTCATCTTATATACACAGAGAAAGAAAACCCTAGTCATTCTAACGTGATGATCCCAGTTTAGCCAAAGAGCCTCCTATGAATAAAATGCCCAGGCATAGCAGTACGTGTAAAGAGTGTCATTGCAAGTGATGGTATGTCACTTTGGATCTTCAGATGGGGAAACCCAATCCGTGTGTATCACATGACGCAGCTCATCAATGGGAGGGCCCTGGGGACTGAACTATACGTTACAGGAGCCTCTTTGAGTCTTTCCTCTCCTGTTTGATTCTTAGAATCTATTTTTTAAGTCTGTGGAGTCCAGAAAAGTCAAAATAAATGTGCCTGTAAAAATTAAATTCCATTTTTACGGGATGTGTTTTTTAATGAACCATCTCAGATCCTAATGCTTTCTCAACCTCTGGAACATTTTAACTCCAGTGGAAGACTTTCCAGTAGATGGACCTGAAAGGGATACAGAGATGTGCACACCAAATCCACACAGAGTTGGGGGGCTTTTGAGCCAGACGCGGCTCTGAGGCGGTTCTGGGCAGCCCTGGGCTGGCGGTAGGTTTTTCACTGTGCCGGATGGTCTGTGAGCTCCTCTGTTTCCCTTCATGTTCACCGAGTAGGTCCATCGGGGCATCAAAGGCCTGGTGAGGGATTTGCACGGAAAAGGAATTCCAAATGCTGTTATCTCCGTGGAAGGCGTTAACCATGACATCCGAACAGGTAACTGCGAGTGTCTGTGAACTGTTTATCGGGAGGAAATACCCAGGTTCTTGAAGTGTTTGGCTTGCGTTAGAACCACAGTGTGAGGTCCGGAAACTTCATCTTCTGGTCTGCCTTATCCTCTTTCCTCTAACTTTCTGTGGGAGACCCTATAAGCCAGCTGTTTAGCCTATGCTTTCTGCCTTCTCTCTGTCCCTCATTCAGGTGGAAGCCAGATGCTCAGAGAGGCTGGAGGACCCACTGAAGCTTCAGGAGGCGGGTGGGGCTTGGGTTGAGGTGTGTGAGCAGCTGCGTGCTGTGTCCCCGCTGGTTCCAGAGCTCCCGAGCTGGTGGGAGGGCAGCCTGCAGACACCAGGCACCTGCCCACTGGCTGCCTTCTTCTCTGCTGATCAGAAAGTGAGGTGAAAACACGCCCAAGCTTTCCCTTGGGCCCCAGAACTCCCGTCACCTGGGATGGGACTTGATATGTTCAGGGGGAAATGTGAAACAGAGACCTTGATTTTTGATGGACGATATTGGCCCCACGAGGCAATGACAAATGCGCGTAGCAGAGAATTGCTTGGATGCCTAAGTCAGATTGTCAGCAAGAGTTCTGCTGGAGATGGCGTGCCCACAGGCATGTTCAAACCGACACACGGAGGTTTTTGTAGGGGTGGGGGTGACTTTAGAGGGTGCTGAGTCTGCGAGGCCAACGCTTTGCTGTCAGCGGCAATGAGCAGGGCACTGGGTCCTACATGGGCTTCCCGTGGTTGCCGTGACAAAGGACCACAAATGGTGAGGCTTTAAAGAAACAGAAATGTATTCTGTCTCTGTTATGGAGGCCAGGAGTCTGCAGTCCTGGTGTCGGTGGGGCTGATTCCCTGGAGCCCCGGGAGGGTCCTCCCTTGGCTCTTCCAGCTCCTGGTGGCTTTGGGTCCTTCTGCGCTTCCTTGGCTGTGTCACTCCAGTCTCTGCCTCCGTTTCCTCCTGGATCCTCCTTTTCTGTCTCTTCTGAGGACACATCATTGGATTTAGGACCTACTCATGTAATCCAGGCTGATCTCATCTCAAGAGCCTGAATTACATATGCAAAAACCCCTTTTCCAAATGAGATCAATTCGCAGGTCCTGGGTAGTAGGATGTGGGCCCCTGGGGGGTTAGGGAGTGTGGCGGCATCACTGGACCCAGGGCAGGTCCTGCCCAGGTATAGGGAACAAACGCACCATCAGCAAGAGAAAGGAAATCATGATTGTCATAAAAAAAAGACTTCTTCAATCGCAAACACCCTTGAGCTGGGGGAGATGAGACGAGACACGGACTTGGCCTGACCTGAGCCTGGTGGACTGAGAGCTTACCCTGCGCCCAGGCAGCCAGCCGCCCTGGTCATGACGCGGGGTTTCCCAGACACACAGGGAGAGGCTGAACGGGCACGGAGCCAGGGGTTGAGACTCTCCATGGTGTACCCTTCCCTTGTCCATGCCGTTCCTCCCGAAGGAGAGAAGGGGCCTTTTCCCCACTAGCTGATCACACGCGTGGAGACACTGTCCTCCCCGAAACGATCTGTTTGACCTGCGGGGAAGCGGAGGCTCTGGACGGGGAGAGGCTAGGATTCGGTACACGTAAAGAGTGTCACCCTGGCCCAGGTGTTCTTCGATGCCAGACTGCCCGCTCACGTGCCTGACAGAGAAGGACAATTATCGTGCCAATGGGTGACACGCATCTGAAATGCCATGAAGCAGTGGACTACGGAGTGATGCCCTGAATCACCTTCTCTCAAGGCAGTTAACCTGTTTCTTCACGCAGCCGTTACTTCCCGAGCATCGCACGGCTTGTCCCCCATCATCTTACAGCTACTGACCATGAGGCTGCCCACTGGGCTGCATGGCGCATGGTCCATAGGAGTCCCACTGAACTGAACTGAACTGAACCGAGCCCCACATAGACAGGCACACACTGATCCATCCAGTCATTCACTTACTCACTCCTTCATTCCACAGATGCAGATTGTAAACTCGTCATGGGCCAGACATTCAACAGACGGGTAATCCTTATGGATCAAATGGGCTGCCTGATCTGGTTCTGCCCAGGACTTGTATTTTAAACATTATTAATGGGCTCCTATAAAAGACTGATTCGTTAAAGAGCATGGAACAATCCTTGGACCATTAGCGCCTTGTAGGCAATGTGAGAAAAGGGGAGTTTTAAACAGAGTGGGAGATAAAATGCCCACGGGGCCCCACAAGACAGCAGAGAAAACTCTGCTTGATGAGCTCAGAATTTCAAGCCCTTGTTATCACGGAGAATTTTGATGAGCTAATGGGAGACTCAGCTCGCTTCCATTTATTCCCCCAAAGTAATCTCCCAGCACCTGCTCATTACAGAGGAATCCCGTGTGTCACGGACGGTTCTTCATTCTGTTAGTTTCAGGGTCCTCCCGTGCTCCATGTAAGCTCTGAATCTGCCTTGATTTCTGTCTGAGGCTTATGTGATCTGACAAGTTTTATTCCAGGATGGATTTTGCATAAAATAAGCAGGTGAATGAAATGGAATTCCACAGGGAGTGAAGTTGGTAAGGATGCTTTCTAAATGCATGTAAATGTGCTGCCCCACACCTGGCTCAGATTGCCACGTGACTGTCTTTTGTTCGGGTGACACTAACCCAACCTGCTAATGAATGCCCTCCGTTAGGACCCGGCTTCCATCCACCCATGCCAGGCAGTGCCAGCTCCCCATGCAGCCCCGCAGAATGCTGCCCCCAAACACATACCTGGCAGGGCACCATGATAGAAAGGCTGGCACACCAAAGACAGGGGGGTTGAGGAGGGTGTGAGAGGGAGCCTTCTGCTGTTGCTGGGAGAAAAAGAATCACAAAGCCATCTTATAAATCTGAATTAGTAGTGCTGACAAGCATGTATTCTTTATGGATTTCTTTCACTCCTCTGGCCCCCTGAGCACCCCCCCTTGTTGAGAACTTGGGCTGCCCCTTCCCCGGGGGGGGGGGTTCAAAATGACCTCCCGTGTGTCCTTGAGGTGGACACTCCCACTGACAGGTCTCACCTCCAGGGGTCTCCATCAGGGTAGGCAGCTGTTGGCAGGTGGCCGGTTCCTGACCTTAACTAATCCACCCCTGCGTTTGTGGGGAGAAAGTACCCACAGTAGTTGAGACGTAAGGTGTTGAACTTCCCGCAGGAATAGGACATTTGGGTTCATATTTGCGTGACTGTTTGTCTGCTTCCTGCTCAATCCAGCTGGCATGCTTGGAGGAAGCACTGTTGAAACCCAGGGTTGAGTGGGAAAGAGGAAGCACAGGCCATATGGAGCCCAGGGCTCAGCGCAGGGCCGGGCCGGGACAGGGGGCTGCTCACACTCGGGGCACGAGGTCTGGAGGAGCAGAGGCGTCCCCGGAAGGTGTGCCTGGGAGCTGAGGGTTTGGAGGAATGTCTCAGGGGATGCCTGCCCTGCCCAGGAGGTTGGGGTCACCTGATTAACTAGACAAAGATAGCAGGATGCGGCTCTTGGTCTCTGAAAAACCATGAAGTGACATTTTATGTAGTTGAGAACCTTGCATTTTCACTGGAGAAAGATGCAGGTGCTGAGAAAGACAGGGAGATGCCCGCCTGTGTTATATGCCCGGGGCTCTCATGTTGAGGCCTGCTTACCAGGTAGCAGACTCTGTGAACGTGTGGTGAACAGCTGCCTGCGTATTTCATTTTTCACAACTTCTTGTGCTTTTGTGAGCTCACTGCATGCATTGCATGGGCCGTGTCAGATAAATAAGAGATTTGTGATGTCAGTTTAAACGTGGTGCTTCAAAGTGTTATGTGTGTGTGTGTGTGTGTGTAAAATACATATTCTTGTCCATCCATTAGAGGACTTCTGGACTCGTTCAGATGAGTAAACCTTGCCCAGGCCTACATAGCACTTGATCAAATCTGGCCTTTTCTCTTTAGACCAGACAGGACAGATTGTCATAAGAGAGAAAACAAACCTGGCCCTGGAAGACCAGCTGATCACTAGCTGTGTGACCTTGTGTAGATGTGACACTTCCCTGGGCGTCCAGTTACTCCTGTAGAAACAGATGCCGCACAACTTACCATGGAGCTTGACTTGGCCAGTCCAATGGATTGGCGCTTGTCTCATCCTTCTGTGCGCTGCGTCGGAGTTGACATTTCCTTTTTGGTCCATCTAGTCAAGGCTATGGCTTTTCCAGTAGTCATGTATGGATGTGAGAGTTGGACCATAAAGAAAGCTGAGCGCCAAAGACTTGATGCTTTTGAACTATGGTGTTGGAGAAGACTCTTGAGAGTCCCTTGGACTGCAAGGAGATCCAACCAGTCCATCCTAAAAGAAATCAGTCCTGGGTATTCATTGGAAGGACTGAGGCTGAAGCTGAAGCTCCAATACTTTGGCCACCCCATACAAAGAACTGACTCACTGGAAAATACCCTGATGCTGGGAAAGATTGAAGGCAGGAGGAGAAGGGGCTGACAGAGGGTGAGATGGTTGGATGGCAACACCAACTTGATGGACATGAGTTTGAGCAGGCTCTGGGAGATGGTGATGGACAGGGAAGCCTGGTGTGCTACAGTCCATGGGATCGCAAAGAGTAGGACACGACTGAGCAACTGAACTGAACTGAACTGAACTTTCTATCGCAAAGCTTCCTTAATGTCAGGGGTCCTAGTGATCTCAGCAGGTGTGGGTCCCCTGGGGAGGAGTGGCCTTGGCCTCAGACCCTGCTTTATTCAGCAAGAATCTAGCCTTGAGCTGAGGATGGACATGGGTCCAGTTAGATCCCTGTTGGATGCCTGATCAATGGTGTCACTGAGGGAGGGTGGGGAGGAGGCAGGGGACACTGCTGCCCCTGAAGCTCCAGTTTTTCATGGAAGACCATGGAATGAGGTGGAGACAGCTGGGACCTCCTTCCAGGTCACTTGGCCCAAGTCCTCTGTAGCCTTTTCCTTCTCTTTTTCAGAAGTGAAGAGCCCCACCCTCATACTACTATTCTATATTTATAGCCATGCTAAGGGAAGCCAGGAAACCAGGCACAGATGGCTTTTCAAGATGGCATTCTGTGGCAAGGGCGTACGGTTTAGAAGTTCAAGTTCATAATGAATGGTGTGTATTGTCAGAGAGAAAGGAATGTTAGCGATCATGTCTCCATCTCTGCTCATGCGTATTAACACTGCAGGGAGCCTACACCCCAGTCCCCTTCCTGTTAAAACCATTAAGGTAACGTCCCAAAAGGAAAACATCTCGGCGTCCAAAATGCACTAAGAATTTGCATCTGCCGGGGCTCGAATTCCACACTGCCTGCCTCCAAGTCTCTCCCTCCCAGTCTTGGAATAACAGGGCTGGTTGATATCTGTGTTAGAAAGGCACTGCTCTCAGTTCTCCTGTTTTCTTTTCACAGCCAGTGATGGGGATTACTGGCGCCTCCTCAACCCTGGAGAGTACGTGGTCACAGCCAAGGCAGAAGGTTTCACCTCGTCCACCAAGAACTGCATGGTCGGCTATGACATGGGGGCCACGCAGTGCGACTTCACGCTCAGCAAAACTAACCTGGCCAGGATCAGAGAGATCATGGAGAAGTTCGGAAAGCAGCCTGTCAGCCTGCCAGCCAGGCGGTTGAAGCTGCGGGGGCGGAAGAGACGACAGCGTGGGTGACCTCCCAACTCTTGAGTCATGTCCTGGACCCCTGCAAGTTAAACCACCTTGGTTGTAGCTCCATAGAAGACTCAGTCCTTGTTGTTTTCTCTGTACTCCATGAAGGCCTGGGAGTATGTGTGCACTGCAAAGCTGGTCCCCAGGGGGAACTTAGGATAGTTTCTTTGGTCTCATTTATCCAAATAACTTGGGCAAAGCAGCAGAGGAAGGCTGGTAGAGGTGAAATAATTCAACAGGCCAACCTGGGACTTGAGAGAGAGAGAGGGAGGAGCTTGCCTGTTGAGGGTCTCCGGGCTCTAAAGGAAAGGAAACGGGTGCTTCTCCTGTTTGCGTGACAGTAAGAATTCCTGGTGCATTTGCAGTTTGCACAGTGAAAATCTCAGCATGCCCAGGGCTCTGCTGTCCCAAATGCTACCAGCTAAGATGCTCACAGGCATTCTAAGAACCCACCCTCTCTGGCCCCAGGACATTCTGAGCTGCTGCAGATGAATCCTGCACTCTGTTGACAATAGAGACGTTACCAAGTGAGCATCAGCCTGCCTCTTAATTTAGCTTAGTTCCCCTTTCAACAAAGGATCATGCTCATAAAAGGAGAGAAAGGCTGAAATAATTCAGGAGTGAACGTGCGCAGCAGGCGTGCATTGGGTCAAGTGGTGTGCAGTGGGGCCACAGAGAACCCCCCAAACTTCCTGCTGCTTCAGTTGGGGGCTCCCTGAACAGGGACAGAAGGAGGCGCCAGCCTCCCTAAGGAGCCAGAGCAGTTAGCCTGGCTCTCTGACCTGCTGGGACTTGAAAAGAGCAAAAGAGGCTGACCGCCAGCCCTCCCTGTTCAATATAGTCCTCCTTTCCTGGAAACGAGCACTCCTAAGCTGGCCTGACATCACCCTGGCAGTTATTTTTGGTATGTGGGATGCTGGGCCATCCAGATTAGACTCCATTTGATGAAAAGCTCTTAGAATTATCAGGGAGCGTTGGTGTGGGAGGTGTTATTGAATCTCCACACAAGAGCACAGTTTGTCTCGCTTTTTATTAATGTTGCTGCCTCACTGACCTGGGAAGAAGAGAAAAATAAAGCAAGTGCTGAGATCCTTCTAGTCATGTGGTTTTCTCGGGTAGACTCGCAGCCACCCAGACGCCGTGCCCCACCTCCTCTCTCTGCACTTGGTCACCCTGAAGAAGGTGCCTGTTCTAGAGGGGTAGCCTGTACCCGGCTCAGGGTCCGTAGAGGTGCTGCCAGCTGTCTCCCCTGCCTCCTGCCCCGGGGTGGGGATGGGGGCGCCTGAGCTGGGGTGAAGTCATCTTGACACTTGGGACCCACTAAGTAACTCCTGGAGCTGCCAGGGAGCGCCTTCCCAGAAAAGAGTCTCATGTCACTTTTTGAGAATCTACACAAGACATCGGCAGGCTTATAAAGGATCAGATCGTAAATATTTTAGGCTTTGCAGGCCATAAAGTCTCTGTCACAAGTACTCAGCTCTGCTATTCTAGTACAAAAGCAGACTTACACCATATGTAAATCAAGTGGGCGTGGCCATGTTCCAGTAAAACTTCATTAAAACATGTGGCAGAGACTTCCCTGGCTGTCCAGTAAGGGTAGGATGCTATGCTTTCACGGCAGTGGACCGGGTTCAATCCCTGGCAGTGGACCGGTTTCAATCCCTGGTGGGGGAGCTAAGATCCTACAAGGAGGCCAAAAATAAAAACATGTTGCAGCTGGGTTTGACCGCAGTCTGGGGCATTGTTAGCTGACCCCTGCTCTTCACTAGAACCCTCTTCGGTGATGGAGAGGTCTGATTCTGTGGTACCTCACGCAGCAGCCACTAGCCACACGTGGCCTTTGGGCACTTGAAGTGGGACTCATACAACTTGGGGAAAGGATTTCTAATTACATAATTTGAATTAATTTAACTTTCTGTAGTCATATAGCTATTCACCACGTAGCTCTCCATGAAGCCTGTTGTAGAAAAACCTTCCCCTTGCAGAGTTAGTTGTGACAGGTTGACAATAGAAAGCCCTTGAAATGATCAACCAGCCCTGCAGTTCAGAAAGATTAGCATTCCAAGGGCATCAGCAGACGGTGGATCAGCAGGTCCCTGCCGCAGCCTTCTGGGAAGCTGGTCCCTGTACTTGGCACCGAGATGACTCTCATTGCCAGCGTCTAGCTCTGTAACCCGTGGGGCTGTGGTTCACCATCTGCTGTGTTCAGCAATTCTCGGCCCTCTGCAAGTGTATCTTCAGACTTAGCCCATCCACAGGTGTCTGGTTTGCAGGCTGGAGCTGTGGCTTCCAGGCCTGGCACTGCCCTTTAAGTATGTGATCTCGGGCAGGGCAGCCTCTCTATTCTCTCCTCTGCTCCTATGGAGTAAGCCCGTGGGCTTGTGGACTGTGAAGGCCCGTGGGGCTGTGGTGTCCCCTGATCTCTGGGGAGAGGTGACATTCCAGATCCTGATGCTCTGGTCTGTTGGAGCTGGCCCTCTACTCATCCCCTTTGGTGGGCTCCCCGTTGGCTCCATAATAATTCAACAGCTTCTCCTCGCTGAACCTTCAAGCCCAGACCGTATTCCTTCACCTAGTTCCTGGGGCTTCTCTCCAACTGGACTTCTCTCCTGCTCTCCAGCCAGAATTACCCCTCCTGGACCTTGCTGAGAGGTGGCCTTGGGCCTCTGCATCCCTGTCTCTCCCCACAGCTGGAAACCTTCCTGCTCCTCTCAAAGCCGTTTTCAAATGCCACCTCCTACAGGAAGCCTTCCTTACTCTCACAACATGGACGTGTTGGGACAGATCGGCAGGGCCCTCAGGGCCTCTGGTTGTCCAACCCTTTCTACTAGGACTCGTCTCATGGCTGATTTTCCTGGTCATTGTCCCAGAATCTCCCCAAGGGCAAGAATGATGTCATCGCCCTGGGTCTCTGCCCCACATGGCTGGCTCAGTTTCCTCCTCACAGTGCGTGCTCAGTAAATACGTGTGGAACTGAACTAGCCTTGTGTATGCGCTGCTTTTTGGTTGTATGTTTTTGGCCACACAGCACAGCATGCAGGGTCTTAGTTCCCCCTCAAGGGATCAGACCCGTGTTACCTGCCCTGGAGGCATGGAGTCTTAACCATTGGACCACCAGGGAAGTCCTTGCGCTGCTTTGTAAGATTCCCTTAAAGGTTAAGAAGATGTGATTTCAGAAATTGAAAAGTTGTAACACGGATTTATTCAGTATGTTATTACCTCTTCAAGAGTCTTCGCTTTTAGAGGTAAGTGTTAAGACTTGACTGAATAGAAACATGTCTGAAAGATTTGTAGAAGGTTTTGCTTTCCATCTGGACATCTTTCGTTAGAGTAAAATCAACACAAAACATCTGCTTCTGGCAGAAAATCCTCTGTTTATCCTTACTCTCCCACTCAGGGCCCAGGTGACCACTGCAGCCCTGCTGTTTTTAATGTCACCTGTGTTTTTGGTGAAAGGGCATTTAAGGAGCTGCTCAGATCAGGATCCTTCAAGGATCGCATCTCAGTTTCAATGACTTTAACAGGAAACCCTGAGACTTATCCAGTCTTTGTGTAACAAAGACATTAAGAACAACTTTTTTCCCAGTATTTTTTTTTACTGAAATATAGTTGATTTACAATGCTATGTTAATTTCTGCTGTGCAGTAAAGTGATTCAGTTTTTATATGTGTGTGTGTGTGTGTGTGTGTGTATGAGCTTCCTTGGTGGCTCAGCTGGTAAAGAATCCGCCTGCAATGTGGGAGACCTGGGTTTGATCCCTGAGTTGGGAAGATCCCCTGGAGAGGGGAAAGGCTACTCACTCCAGTATTCTGGCCCGGAGAATTGCATGCTGTATATAGTCCATGTATAGTTGATAAACAATGCTTATGTTAATTTCTGCTGTGCAGTAAAGTGATTCAGTTATATACATACATACATACATATATATACATATATATATATATATATATACACATTCTTTTTAAATATTCTTTTCCATTGAGGTTTATCATAGGATAATGAATATAGTTCTCTGGGCTCTACTGTAGGACCTTGTTGCCTATCCATTCTATAAATACAGACTTACATCTATTAATCCCAAATGAACAACTTTAAAGATACAACATTTTGTTAATGTCCAAGTCACAATGTAGCATAAAGGATGTTTTATATAATATTTACGTGCTCTTTGGGTGGCTGGGCCAGAAAAGTAGCACAGATTTGCAGGTTCAGAATTGGCCCTGTTGGTCACCGCCCATCCTGGAGAAGCTCACATTCCCACCCCACTTCGTGTTGACACCCCCATGCCCAATGGGGGAGTCACAGTGGTTGGGGTCACTGCTACCCACAAAGCCACACCTAGAAGGACTAACCAGAAAGCTGGCCAGAGACAAGCTCCCCACAGCCAGATTCTGTAGCTGAGCTCTGGGTACCAAGAGCAACCTCTCCTGAGGCTATGGGAGTTCTGTCCATCTATCCCCTGCCACACAGCTACAGCTCCAAGTTCCTAGCCAAGACACAAGGTATCCAGAAAAAATTAGAAAAAAACAGAGCACTGGAACCCATGGGATAGAGTCTCCAGTGCCCGCTGGTGTGTATAGAGGAGAATGATAGGTCTTTAGAGCCGAGGGGCACCTCAAGATGAATGAGGTTTCCTGGGGTGGAAACCACGTGTCCCCTTGCAAGCCAATTCTAATCCATCAGTAAGTAGCTGCTTGGAGCCCTGTGTTGAGAAAGATTCTGAAGCAGAGCCCTGGCTCAGTGGTAAGCGATGCGACAATTGATTAGCTATGTCTACTCTGGGTCTGGGAAGGGGTGACAGTACTGACGCTCCAGGCTTCCATCCTTAAATAGTCCCGTCCCCCTGGGTTTAGAAATGGAAAAACCGAGGTCCAGGGAGAGGCACAAAGTATCCTGGGCTGTGTGTCAGTTCCCGGCAGAGGCTGGACTCTTGGAGCAACTCCCTCCCCACTGCCCTCCGAGAACACCGTGATCCTCCCCGCTGCCCTCCGGGAACACCCTGA